CTTACGAAGTGCCAGGCCGAGCATACCAAGTCAATGTTATCTCACCCGAAGCAGTTGACAAGGCCATCAACGACATTATCTCTGACTTCAATGGCCGTCTAGATGTGTTTGTGGCCAATTCCGGTATTGCCTGGGAAGATGGGTCCTTTATCGACGGGCCTACTGAGAGAGCTCGCCGTGTTATGGAAGTCAACGTTGACGGTGTTATGTGGTGCGCCAAGAGTGCAGGAGCACATTTTCGAAGACAGAAGAAGGAGGGCACAACGCTGGATGGAAAGAAATTGACCAATTTTGTGGCGGGCAGCTTCATCGCTACAGCATCTATGAGTGGAAGCATCGTCAACATCCCTCAATTGCAGGCAGTATACAACGCTTCGAAGGCAGCTGTGATCCACTTCTGTAAGTATCATATCATTTGCAGAACTACCTAAGCTTGTACGACTAACCAAAGGCTTCTAGGTAAATCTCTGGCTGTGGAATGGACAGGCTTTGCCCGTGTCAACACTGTATCACCTGGATATATCAAGACCGAGATCACAGATTTCATCAGCGAGGACGTGAAGAACGTTTTCAAGGAAAAGACAGTTGCTGGGTGAGTCTGGGCTGACATCAAAATTTGACTTCCTGTTGACTAACACCATATCCAGACGTCAAGGCGAAACTGGAGAGCTCAAGGGAGCTTATCTGTACCTGGCTAGCGATGCCTCATCTTTTACAACTGGTCATGACCTGGTCGTTGATGGTGGTTACTGCGTCCCTTAAATATGGCTACAAACTGTTGGCAGTTGAGCGTTCATGTCATGTCTTGTTTGGCTAAGACCAGCTGCATACCTATGCATTGGCACGAGAGAGCTTGGAGAACAGATATCAAAGGTATTACGATGAATATATGTGTCACGTCGTTTTGTCAGCTTCCCTACTACTTGGCTGAGGTCAGGAAATGTGAACAAGATTATCATCTTGGACCAGAAATGCCAAGGTGGCTTTATCAGGAAATGACCGTTCCAAACAAGGTTCTGATGATCTGCACCTGGAGGAACTATTCAGCAGCCAAGAGGGCAAAGACATGCTGGCGAGCTGTAATAATGAACTGTTGATTGATGGGCATAACACGGGCTAGGAATGCGAACATTCATATCCTCGTCAATAACCGTCGGATTTCGGATACCTCTGTCTCAGTGATCTTTGGTGGACTAAATACACTCAAGACCACATGGGTAGGTTCGTGAAAATCGATGTGAGCGCAAATGCGCAGAATGTTACGAAGTGAGCAATAATATTGCACTGTTCACCGCTCTCTTTATTAACCGTTATCCCACTTGGATCATTGATAAGATTCTAGGCCCAACCTACCAGCCAAATATCCGATTTTAGCAGCAAGTTTCAGGGCAGTCGGTCGTTATCTTAGCTTTCCCTTCCCCGTAGGACAAATTAACGTTGCGCAGTAGCGCAAAGAGAGAATGAAAAGCTCAGCTGTGTCCTTTCCATTGGTAAACGAATGATGACCACACGAGCGAGACTCCTCCATTTAATTACTTCTATCTTATGATTGGGCCGAGGTCAGCATCTGTCATTGAAACGTTAGGAGCTGTTAGATTTAGAAGACGGGAGCTGCCTAGATGAGTAAGTACTGTGCCCGCATTCACTCGTATATCTCCACCTGCCAACGCTGGATCAGTACTTGAGCTCCCTCCCGGGGTACCCAAGCCCAGTGGCCCCTAGGTTCCTGTAGAATCGTTCAACCGTCATCTCCCAACTAGCAGTGACTGCTGAGTTCTTACCTCCCAACCTGACCTCCCGCCGCTCTTTCTAGTCAGCCCTACCTATATCCAGTAACCGCCTTCTTTCAAACCCGGCCACGGCATTTGCTCAGAAACTTCTCGTGCGCATCGCCGTCTGCCTTTTTACTTAGTCGCATTGCATTATCTCTTTGTGCAAGTTTCTATAAGTATCACACATTCATCGATCACAACTATCAACGCCTTCACCGCCGCCAGCTCCATCCTCCCCTCGCCTCGTCGCCCCCTAGCCGCCCACCATGGACTCTGAAGGCGAGGCCAACACTGCGCCCTCTACTGAGGAGCGACGCAACGTCCAGGTCGACAATGCCATTCGCGCCATTCAGGAGAAGAAGCCGGTCCCCGAGATCGATTTTACCATTCACACCATGGAGGATAACACTCAGGTCAGCACCTTGGAGCGTGTGTGCAAAGGTTCGTGACATCCCCTCCAGTTGTCGCCGCCTCAACCCCGCCATCATCATCGACAACAATGTTGTCGCAGATTTGTCCACAATATTCCTAGCTACCACTCAGGCTGGTATCATGGTACCTACAAAACTACAGCTATGGTCTTTCCCATAAGCTTGTCTCACTTTGACTGACTCGAATCTATTGCATTTTAACAGATGTCCAAGCACCTGCCATGTACAAGCCTACCGACGAGCAATTCTTCGATGATGACACCCATTCTAAGCCCAACCTTCAGTTTCTCAAGCAGCATTTCTATCGCGAGGGCCGTCTTACCGAAGAGCAGGCTCTTTGGATTATCAGGAAGGGTACCGAACTTCTGCGCGCCGAGCCCAATCTCCTGGAGATGGACGCTCCCATTACTGTCTGTGGTGACGTTCATGGACAGTACTATGATTTGATGAAGCTGTTCGAAGTCGGAGGTGACCCCGCTGAGACCCGATACCTCTTCCTCGGAGACTATGTCGACCGAGGCTACTTCAGCATAGAGTGTGTCCTCTACCTCTGGTGTCTGAAGATCCATTACCCCAAGACCCTCTGGCTGTTGCGAGGAAACCATGAATGTCGCCACTTGACTGACTACTTCACCTTCAAACTCGAATGCAAGCATAAATACTCAGAGACTATCTACGAGGCCTGCATGGAGTCATTCTGCGCTCTTCCCCTTGCTGCTGTTATGAACAAGCAGTTTCTTTGTATTCATGGTGGACTGAGCCCCGAGTTGCACACCCTCGACGACTTGAAGAGCGTTCGTTGATCCGCATCCTGCCCACATGCCTGTGACTGACCTTACTAGATTGATCGTTTCCGCGAGCCCCCTACTCAGGGTCTTATGTGCGACATCCTCTGGGCTGATCCTCTCGAAGACTTCGGCCAGGAGAAGACAAGCGACTATTTCTTACACAATCATGTCCGAGGATGCTCATACTTCTTCTCCTACCCAGCTGCTTGCGCCTTCTTGGAAAAGAACAACCTTCTTTCTATCATCCGTGCTCACGAGGCCCAAGATGCTGGCTATCGCATGTACCGCAAAACCCGAACCACCGGCTTTCCAAGTGTTATGACCATTTTCTCCGCCCCGAATTACCTCGATGTCTATAACAACAAGGCAGCGGTACTCAAGTATGAGAACAACGTTATGAACATTCGGCAGTTCAATTGCACTCCTCACCCTTACTGGCTACCCAACTTCATGGATGTTTTCACCTGGTCTCTTCCTTTCGTAGGAGAGAAGATCACCGATATGCTCATAGCCATTCTCAACACCTGTTCCGAGGATGAACTTAAAGAAGAGACACCCTCCTCAACCTCGCCTGGCCCTGCTTCGCCAGCTTTGTCCAACGACCCTGAGTCGATTGAAGTGCGACGCAGAGCCATCAAGAACAAGATTCTCGCCATCGGTCGCTTGTCTCGTGTATTCCAGGTGCTTCGCGAGGAGTCGGAGAAGGTCACAGAACTCAAGACTGTATCTGGTGGAAGATTGCCCGCGGGAACCCTTATGCTTGGTGCCGAAGGCCTCAAGAACGCAATCAACGGATTCGAAGATGCTCGAAAGGTTGATTTACAAAACGAGAGGCTACCGCCCACTCACGAAGAAGTCGTCAAGCACCAGGAGGAGGAGCGAAACATCGCGCTGCAGAAAGCAGCCGATGATGCCAACAATGACAAGAAATTGCAGCAGCTCTCCAGAAGACTCAGCACGTAAGTCATCCAATCTTATGGCATGAACCAAGCCACTAATATTCACCAGTGATCGCAAGAACCGAGCTCCAACGTCATGAACATAGTTGTACAGTAGCATATACGTTATTGTTATAAATACTGGTGAAGGACTTGGATGAACGATTAATTATCATTCTCCCATATATGAAGGCTGCTGAAGCCTGCCAGGTTTTCCTCTTCATCGTAACTTGACACTCTGGTCATTTTCACTAGCAACGAAAAGTCAGGTTGTTGTTACTGGTCCTACGCTCTGAACTTGGGCAAGGAACAAGGCAGGATAGACGACAACGGCGTTTTTCTGAGTGCCAAGTAGATATGCAAATAGCATTGAGCACACTGTCTAAGAGTGGATGTGCTACCCAGAGTCTCAAGTTGGCAATGCACCTTAATGAATACATGAATGCTTTTCAATGGTCGATTGTGCTTTGTGTCTGAAGATAGAAGCTCGGAGAAGCTCTCTTGACAATCCTCGGTGTAAGCTGCTGCAACCCTCCATTGGATGCTGGCGGTAGAATTTTACACCACAGCACATATTACTGACATCTCAGAGCGTCTCTTCACTTAGCCCATCATAGCTGACTAGCCTTGATATTCTCACCTATCGGAGGCTAGCGAGTGAGAAAAAAGAACACCAAAACACTAACATATTGTAGGATCAATTCTATGGAAGTACTCTTAGTTGTGAGAGTTATAATGAAGTAAAGATAATGAGACATAATGCATTAGCTTTAAAGTAAATGTTGAAAGATATTCACTTACGTTGATTCATGGTCATCTCCAAGGTTGTTCGTATAGGGTAACTCTATTAGTTGTGATATTTGAAAGTCTCACGTGATCTGGCGTTTTGTATGTCACGTCGCTCAAAGAACCGTTTGCCTGACTTGAATTATGTCAAATATTCTTTGTTCTCGAAGATTGCCCCCCTAGCTTTAAGGCTCACCCATACTTTATTAGCAAACTGCGCTATGCGCTGATATTCAAGATTCATCTCCGCGCTCCCACGACGCGCGTTGTCACATCTCTTTTTCAATGTCTTGCGCCCCAGCAGACAACACCAACATCATGGCGCAATCGGGTGTCGAACAACCACCGTCGAATGGCGAAAAAGCGTCTGCTCCTGAACCGCGTAAATTCAAGGCCTCAGATCTTCCTCTACCTTCGGCGACAAGAGCAGCGATAGAATCGCTTGCCCATAGCTTCAAGAAAGAGGGAGCCTACGATTCTATTCGAAAGCAAGTTTGGGACAAGTTTGAAGCCAGCGTACGATGAGATAGGAATACATGCGCAATGCCATACTGATGCATAATTAGGATTACGAGGCTCAGGTCACGAAATCGATTCTCGAGGTGGCCGAGCAGGAAATTGAGCGCAACCCACAGCAGCTTCTCACACTTGATCGGAGAAAGGCTGCGGCTCTAATCGATGGCGCTCTAGAGAGATCCGGGGTTTATCACAAAGCAGAAGATGTCATTAGCCAGCTGATCGATGTGGGCGCCATAGAGGAGCGAATCCGCGAAACACGCCGGGCCGAAGTCGGCGAGGAAGCAGCTGAAGCAGAAAAGGTTCGGGGCGCCAAAACAGACGAAGAATATGAGGCCGAGACTGAGGCTCGACGTGCGGAACGTGAAAAAGTTCGGGAAGAGCTACGACAAAAAGAGGCTGCAATCCAGGAGGAGAAACGAAGAATCCTTAAAGAAGAACGAAAGAAGGAGGAGCGAGAGCGAGAGAAAGCCGAAATCAAGCGCCAGGAAGAAAGAGATGAGCGTCGCCGAAAGCGAGAACAAGAGCGCGAGGAGCGTGAAAGACTACGAGATATTGAAAGAGAAAAGCGACACAAAGAGCGCGAGCGTGAGCGTGACAGGGACCGAGACCGCGATACAAGGGATAGGGATAGAGATAGGGACAGGGACAGGGAACGCGACAGAGATCGCGACCGGGATCGTCATCGTGATCATGACAGACATAGGGATGATCGGCACAAGGAGAAACCAGCGGCCTCTACAGAGCTGAAAGAGAAACTCTCTAAAGAAGAACACGATCGACTGGAGCAAGAGGCTCTGGCCGATTTACTCCGCGAAAGCTCCAAGCCGGCCCAAAAGCAAGAGTTGGAGGTTGATTCATCCCTCGCACCGCCGCCACGTAAAACGGGGCCTGTTTCGGCCATCAACCCGATCAGGCGAGAACGTTCGTCGATTGCAGAGGGCCGCAAGACCAGCGATGCAGGGCTCGGAGCTGAACGTGATGGCCATGGAACACCTGCACAGGCCAAGAGACCTGAAGCGGACGATCGAAAGCCGAGTCGTAGTGCTTCTCGGATCGTCGACCGCGATGGGGATCGCGAGAGAGATAGAGAGCGTGATCGCTTGAGGGAACGAGATTCTCGTCGCGATAGACGCTCAAACTCACCACACAGAGGCATCAGTGGGTCGCGTATTCGAGACAGACGTGACAGAAGCCGGTCTCGAGCTAGACGGGAGAGGAGTCGTTCACGAACTGGCAGAGAGGACCGTGCGGTTAGAAGCCGATCACGACCCAAGTATGACCACTACGAGCGAAGTAGATCCCGAAGACGTGACCGTAGCCGTTCTCGACCTAGAGTGGTCGAGCGAAGAGAGAGAAGCCGATCAAGACCTAGACCCGAGCGCCGAGATCGAAGCAGAGACAGAAGGGACCGCTCACGACTGCGCTCTGATAGACGGGAAAGGAGTCGTTCTCGCACTCGACGTGATCAAAGCAGGTCTCACGACACTCGTCTTGGTGGAGCTGACCATTATGACCCTCGAGAAAGAGACCGTGAACGAGACATAGATCGACCTCGTGACCGAGAGCGCGACCGCGAGAGATCTCCTCTGAGACGGAGAAGCCGAGAAAGGCTTCGTGATGACCGTGACCAAGCAAAGCCTCGCGATAAGGAGCAGGAAAAAGCCGCCCCCCAGAAAGAACGGGAAAGAGAGAAGGAAAAACCAACTGAGCGTCGTAGTCGTTCTCCATCACGAGCCATTGCCACAGCCGCACGACCGAGCTCCAGCAAAGCTCAGGATGGCCTTGAGGAGTGGAAGATGGAAGAAGTCAGAAAGCGGGAAAAAGAAGCCAAGGCCTATCTGGCGGCTCAGAAGGACGCCAGGAACAAAGGCCTCCCAATCCCTGGACTCGACGACAAAAAGAGCAGTGGTGAAGTATCTCCTGACCTACGCCGCCGCCGGATTCAGGATGACATCGACAGGTATACGCCTGGAGGCTGTGAGGAGCGGAGGAGGAGCCGTTCTCGGAGCCGCAGCCGACAACGGGATACAACAAAAGATCGAGACCGGGAAAGAGAAAGAGAAAGAGAAAGAGACAGAGACAGAGTTGATCGTGATAAGCCGAGGGGTGGAGATAGCTATCGTGAGCGAGATAGAGACAGAGATCGTGATAGGGACCGAGACCGAAGGGACAGGGACAGAGATCGCGATACGGATCGACGTGATCGTGACAGGGATCGTGAAAGAGAACGATCGAGGGATAGGAGGAACAGGCGAGAGCGTAGTCTATCTCCTCGACGAGAAAGGCGGGGAAGTAGAAGCCGCCGTTGATAATAAGTTGGGTTTCACAGAACAATTGTAATTTTGGCAGTTTTGAAGAGCATCGGGAGTCTAGCTACACAGCTGCAAGTTCGTTCGCCATGGGTTAGGTGGATTAATAAGATACCCCTTTAAACATGAATTGATAATCATAGCAGAGCTTTTCCAACAATTTAGCATCACACCTCCACACGGCTGATGGTATACATAATTTCATTAAAACGTTTGATCATTATTAAAAGTCTATATAATGCCTAAGTGAAATCGTCATCAATGGGCAAACCACGACGAGGTCACCCGAGTTACATGCTCGCTAGATAACCCATGATAGTGCCATAACGCGCCAGCAATTATCACGGTGATGAAACCCAAACATCCAATCATGATGCCTTTGCGTAAAGTAGAAGACATCTCGCCCTCTCGATTTAGGGTACCGGTACCCCATGCAACGGCTTCTTCCCACATGTTGAGGAGTTGTTCGTAACCGATCGAATATAGAACAAGACCCATAAGGGCAACAGCGTATCCAAGTGTTTGCGTAAGGGAGATGTGAGTACCCCAAAGCACAACAGAAGCAGCCACGAGAAGGATGCTCTTAAGAATACCACTCAGAGTCATGACAAGTCCTGATGTTTTACCGATCTGAATAGGAGTCAGCAGTGAAAGTGAATTGCGGGGGATTAAATTCTGGCTTACGAGGAAGACGCTGATGACATTCAAGAAGAATGCAAGGCAAGCATTGGCAAGCAGGACGCCATAACCGGCTTGAGCTGCATCTTCCCACTTGAATCGGGGGCCTTCACTAAACAAGACAACGAACATGTTCATAAGGGTACAAACAGGTGCGTAGTAGTAGAGGCCGACAAGAGGATCCATACGGAGACCCTCGGCACTGAGCATGACCTGGATCATGACAACACGCACGGCTTCGGCAATAGTGCCGCACATCTGAAAGAGAAAACCCCACCAGGAGAACTCGATCTCTCCAAAACTGGAAATGGCGACACCGGCAACAATGAGCATGATGTTGCCAAATGTCTTACTATCTGGTTGAGCGACACCCCATACCCACGATGCCACAAGAGTGCAGACAGGGCCGGTAGATTTGAGCATCTGAATAAAAGCAACAGACAGATAGAGGTACACGATGTTGGAGAAGACAAGCGAGGCCGAGTAGAGGACGCCGATAGGGAGAATGGTCCGTATGTAGAGTCGTCGAGTGATTGGGAGTGAATGGCGTGAATCGAGAAGAGACGTAGTGCGAGCAAGGAGTTGTGTTGCTATTGTTGCAAAGACAAGATGCCATGTTGTGAGGATGATAGCTGGTAGCTTGTTAGTTTCAAGTCACGATACACTATGCATGAACAAGTAGACTACTCACGATATCCTGTAAGAGTAAGTTAGCAAACTCATTCAATTTTGAAACAACTTGGTTAATAGCAGGAAGCTTACGGAATCCAGCAGTGTCAATTAGCCACTTGTTGAAGAGAATCGTGGTGTTGGAAAAGAAGATCCATGTTCTGTTCAAGCATCATGTTAGGCATCCCCGCACATGTAGAACTTATTTAGCCACACCTAGAGCTCACATACATTATGTAGACGGACGCGTGTATTCCTGAACCTGTTCCCTGGTTTAGAGGCTTTTCTGAGAATCCATCGTCGACAGCCTCAGACCCACGCGACATCCTGTTGTTGGCCTCCAGATCATTTGATCCCGCCATTGTTTCGAGTGTCTCAGTTTGAGAGTAAACAATCCTTCGATTTCGTTTCTCGAGATGGGGAGGAGTAGGAAGTGATCGGTGGCTTGCTGACTGTCGTCGGAGACACGATACAGCGCGTAAATAGTGCAAAGCCACCTGGAGCTAGACCCAAACTCTCGTCTTCGAGTGACGTATTATCCAAGGGAGAGCAGGGCGAAAAAAAGTTTGGAAGTCCAAAAAGAGGGAGGAGAAGAAAAGATACCGAAAGTAAAAGAAAAAGAAATTCGGTGTCTTAAGAGGCTGGAAAGAGACGGGAGAGTTCGATGATGAGGAGGTCTCACAAGACAAGTCGAATAGCACGGTTTGGGAAAGTGGCTGGTCGAGCAACTTCCTTTCCTGTTGGTGCAAGCGGAAGCTGATCTGATGCGAGCTTGTTGCGACTGCCTTTATTAGTGATGTGATCGATCTGTGTATGAAAGCAGGAAGCTTCATATACGTCGCTCTTTGTTCCCAGAATTATTTGCTTTTCAGGATTATTGCAAAAAATGAAAGAAACGGAAGCAGAGACAAAAGTAGGAGATAGGTACCCTTCAAATTTGGACGAGGCACCACACACGTGGGTTCATCGTACTTATTAATAACAAAACACTATACGGATACAATCGCAGTCAAGGATATACGTTTTCTCATCGCGCTCAGCCTCGAAATAGGCCTGTCCCTAGCCAGACATCGGCTCAGTGTTGCCGATCTCTGACATAGACAACCCAACATCGACTCCCAAACGAACAAATCCTACGACTCAACGCCCTGTTCTTCAGACAAAGGCGCCGAGTTCCAGCCAACAACCGGGTCAAAGAGCGGAACTAATACGTCAACAGACCCTCGTGAAAGAACTCACCGTCGTTCGTCTTACTCCTCGTACCTGCCAAGCAAGTTACGCTCAAACCTATCATCACAGACGAAGCTTTTCCAGTGCAAAGGGGCGCAGGGCAAATCGTCCCACAAGGCAAAAGCAGCTGGCTAGACGGCAAGGCAAGCCCATGCTGATCACCACCTGGGGGCATGGATGTCAGAGACCCTGCCCCGGGGGTTTCTGTTTACGGATTGACCAATCAGGCTGATGCATTGACACAGCTAAGCGTTGTCCCCTGGCTGGTACAGGAAGCTTGGCATAATTGCGAGCTGTTTATACGAGGAGACCCTCCTTGGTCTAGATTTCATCTGTAACCGCCTAACTCGTTTGGTCCTCTGGACTGTGGGACTCTGAGAGCAGGATGAACAGAAAGCACATGGCAGCTGTCAATTCTCCCTTTGATCGGTCTTGGCCGAGTACGCAGCACCTCACAGACCAGGTCCTCGAAAGTTGAACTGGCTCTAATCTGATGGGGCCACTAACAGTTATACGGGCTGTTAAATTCCTCCAGAATTGCGATGTTCATTGCATCTGAGGAATTATGCCAAGGGACCTGCATATCAATGACATCTCATATTGTCTCTGGCTAGCATTTTCCTCAGCATGACACATTTAGCAGATATTCAGAAACTCACCATCAACTTAGACGCCTATGCCCTCCTTACTAGTTGCCGATTTAACCGCGGAGTGAAGTTTATCCCGCTTCTTCAGGAGGTTGATCAACCAACTGGCACTATAAAATACCACTACGCATTTTCCCCTCGGCGTCCTGCCGTTATTGTTTCGGCACTCCGTCGGGTCCGTTCCCACTGGAGTGGGCCAAACCGCTTCTCGACTCTCTATTCTCGGCCCTTCAGTGCCGGCACCATATTTATAACTTTTTTTGGCCTTTCCCTCACTGAAACATATTAACCCATTCATCCAAGCGAGAAACAACAATTTCGGTTAACAAATCAATTCTGGCTGGCTTGTGACAATGATCGGTTTGCTGCGTCGAGAAACCTTTCTATGCATTATAATCCCGTGCACAAAGTACCACCATTGGTCTCAACCCTTCAATAACCCAACTAACGCAATACAACATGCACTTTGAACCGCTTGATCTCTCTAACCCAGACCCTTATTACAGTAAACAGGTATGCCAACCATTGTTAACTGGTTCTTTAACGCCATCGCTATGCTTTTGAATAAAACCCCATAAATGACACCACGCGTGCCTGCTCTTCGCTTGTTGCCCGCCGAGACTTGAAGCCTGTCTACTCATGCACCGCCTCTTCCTTTCCAAATTCCATCCTTCAGCTTTGCAATGCATTATGGCGTAACATGAACCAATGAAGCTGTATTGGTGATCAGGTTAGAGCCGCGCGTTGTCGTTTCAATGGCAGCCTGATCATTTGCGACGTATGACGTGGCGTCTTCTTCCAAATTCGATGCCTCCTTTGGCTTGCCATTGGACTTTTGAGTTTCGTGCCCCTGGGCTATTTGAGCCGTGTTGTCCGTTGCACTGGCCAGCCCGGTTGCGGCACCAAGATCTGCAACCTCATTGGCATCTTGCATTCTTTCGTCTTGATCATTCATAGCCATCGTAGAGTCCACACAGTCGTAAAAGAGCATAAAGACACCGGGAGAAAGGGTAAGCACTACATCTTCGCTAACCTTTGAGACGTTGTGATCGCTCAGCCTCCACCAGTCCATCTCAGGTTCGTCGATGTCGTTCTCATGATTCTTTCGCTCGAGCTCAGGCTGAATATCCATCATGCTATCAGGTTCCTCATCGTCAACTGCTTTGGTAGGCGGGCTATGTCGTGGATATTTGCGATAACATATGTAGTGCCCGTTCTCGTGTCGCCCATAGTGGGTAACCACTGCTCGAAGCTCATAGATAGGCCCCGTAAATTTGGATGAGCCTTGGTCGCCAGCTATCATTGATTCTCGAGGGTCCCCATCCCATTTCTCCTCTGCACTCGATGCTTGGGTTGAGGAATTGGAGGCACTGCCCAAACACCACGGGCCAAGATCCAGTGTCATTGGAAAGTTGACTGGAGCCGAGTTCTTCATCATGTTGAAAGTGGAAGGATCAAACACCGATCGTTGCATATGGACTGCCAGGCTTTTTGGCGCCCGAGAAATAACAATCTGCTTGGTCTTCGTAGAGCTGACTTTGTTATTAGCCGGAATGCTGCACTTTTCCGTCAGAGTTTTTTCCTCAAAATCATCTTCTTCCAAAGCTAGCTTCACTGCCTCAAGTCGGCACAGAGCTTTTTGGAGGTGCTCGTCTGGCTTCTCGTCGTTTCGCATCCTGTCTATCAACTTAGATAAAAGGTCCTCATGCTTGAGAAGTGTACACTTGGCACACTCGACGTTCTCGATCGCTTCCACTTTGCTGTAAGCATCCAGCCTTTCATACAGGTCATGCTGATTCTTGTTCAAACCAAGACTCAGTGTCAGGCATGTGAAAGGTATCATGGATAACCCCTCGGAATATCCACAACGAACACAGGCCACTCTCTGTGCGAGCATACCCTCCAACGGATTGTGGCTCGACTTAAGCTCGGGTGAAGATATTATGCTTTGATAGCCACTGTCGTCGCTATGCTCACTTACAGCAGCGTCGTCCTTATCGATCTTAACCGCCAGACCAGGATGTTGAGGCTGTGCGTTCTTGATAGCTTTTGCGACGCTCTTATCGATATCATCTAATAATTTGGAGTAGTATTCCTGAGCATCCTGTTGAGTCCATGTGCTCATAGACTTGAGCAGACTTGGAGTCCATAATGTGTGCCCATAATTCGAAACGTCGTTCAGGTCGGCGATCAGAGCCCGTAATGTTTGCGCAACGTCTTGATCGCCACTTTTATCCGATGCTTCAAGATATGTGGAGAGGTATTCAGGCAGAGGTTTAAGTGATGAAAGTCCTTGGAGTATGCTATTCTGGTAGCATGAGTTGTCCATATTGCCAAGACCTGGTGGACGATCGGATTCGGTCTTCAAGCCCAAAACGCTGCCGGTCATGGAGAGGGCGCGGTTTCTTACTTCGAAGACTGAGGACATGACGCCGCCGGGGCGAGTCAGCCCCAAAACCCTCCGCATCTTGTCGCTTTTGACAGCATGGTGGCTTCGTTCGACGAGACGCATCGACTCGGAGGTTGCGGTTGTGGTGGAGTTGTCGGGTGTATCCAAGGCATTCAGAAGGCTCTCAGGGACAATGAATACAAGGCCGTCCCAGAGACTAGTTCCTAAAAGGCGTATTGATTCTTGAAAGGTAGTGGTTGAAGCATATAAGTTGTATGTAATAGTGACGACAACAATGAGGCAAGAGATTAGGACACTCGGTTGAGTGATGCGATCCCAAGGATTCTGTTGTGGAAAGAGCTGTCGATGAGCTGCCACTGAATCGTCGTAGAACTCGTCGAAGTCAGGATGTCGAGACGTCATGCTGTATTGGAGGCCGGATTAACCTCCGCCTAGAAATTCGAAGTCGCAGCGCAGCTCGAAGTGTCTTAGCCTCGGACCCGTGATCAGGAAAGTAGTGGTAGAATATTGGTGCCGATCGAAAGGTAAGCCATGGCCTAGCTCTATGGGCGTGGAGATGCGGCAGAGAAAATCGATGCGATAGCGGGTTTGAATGGTGGTTGAAATGATGCAGTTGGCAGAAATATATAATCTGGAATCGCCACTTGAGGAGGCGAGAAAATTGGCAGAGGAAGATACAATTGCGACAATGAGATGTGGTCGTGTTGGAACAGCATTTTGCTGAAATTGATACAACATTGTATCTTTGCGTTAGTGGATTCTAAAGCAATAAGACAGTGCAGTCTCATACTATACACTGTACATTGTTCCTGCATCATAACTACCTAGCCTACCTATAGTAGTCTTACCGTGCCTGAGGTTGCTGGCTTTTTAGAATGTTGGTATGTACAAAGTAATTTGCTATATATAGAAGATGCTAGAAATCACAAGATACGCCACAGAGATATCCGCATGATATTTGTAATCGTGTAAATGAAAGTTCCAGAGTTTCTAACAAAACGGACAATCCCACGATAGATGACATATCTTCCACTTCCAAAATCACAAATCATGAAGGTATAGTAGTAGCTAGATAGGAAGGAAGAAAAGGAGCAGACGTATCGTGAAGGAATATATAATCTATGTACAAGAAAGGTAGACCGTTCATCGTTTTGCATGTCATGTTCATCATAATGTTTGTTTTTATTTTTGTTTTCCCTGTTCAACCCAGTCATTGCCGTTTGGCTGGAACGACATAAGCCAACTTTGGCTCCTCAACGGCAGCATTTTCGAAATTTGACCACATGCAGAGCGACACGGGTGTTGCGGGAAGCTCAACAGGGCTTTGGTTCTCCTCTACAATTGGAGCAAGCGGTGGGTAGGAGGGTGTGAAACCGGCCGTGGTTGGTGTAACAATGAACTTGTCATCAGGGCCACGAGCCAGGTGCAGGTGCAGTGTTGAGGGCGCACTTCTTGTAGAGAAGTATCCCCATGATTCTCGGGCCAACGACATCTCAGGAGTTTCTTGATCTCCCTTCTTTCTGAACCATTTCATCCACACAAATATGCCTACTCCAACCAGACAGCAGACGCCAGCAACAGTGCCTGCAGTCACGGCTCCTGTTGGGCTTATACCGCTGCCCTTCTTCTCTTCTTCCTTATCATCTGGAGTGACTGGTTCTGTAGTTGAACTCGTAGGATCAGCTGAGGCAAAAGGCGGTTGGAAAACCATATCAGGTACTTCTGATGTTTCGACTGACAGGATATCAGAAGTTGACGAGGATGTAATTGTGGATGTTGGAGTAGAAGTTATGGCCGATGTATATTCAGGAATCGGAAGCAAGAAGGCATAGCTTTCGTCTTGGTCTTTGTCGAGCACACATTCCTTATCGTCTTTGCAACTATATCCAAAAGGACAGCATCTCCTGGCCCCATTCATGGCACCACAGCGTTTTAGTTTCCGATCCCGTGCAAGTGTTTTGACCTCAGCTTCTGGGTTCGTTGATGGGTTCTGTCTCTCGATGTTGCAGGTTATGGGCAAAATGATCTCGCACTCTCCTTTCGAGTTCTTTGGGCAGCATAAAGCGGTTGTGTTTGCAGCAAGGACCTTGCAATCAGCCTGCGAGGAACAGCAGAAATCACCGGGAAGTTCGTTGCCACACCAATGATCTCCGGATATCGGACATGACCCATCTCGCCTTTGGTGTTGTGATGGGAAGTCCAAGAAGGACGGAGGAGCCTTCCGAGGGCTTTCAGGTTCTTCGCTGGCAAAGACTCTGACGTGTGGTTCAACGGCAGCTGGACTTGCTGGAGCCAGCAGAAAGGAAACCAGCACGACGAAGATCCTGAGGAGATGTCCCTCGTGAGGCTGGAGAGTGAAAGCCATGGCACATCTACATGGAAGATGGACGATATCACCGACAGGCTGGAGTTGAGATGTGCCAGAAAGAAAGAGTGCTGATAGTAATGAGAGCAAAGCGCCTCATGTGCAGACGCCGTGCAGCAGTTCTTAATGATAAAGGAGCGAGAGACGCAACTGAAAGACGCATACCAAGCTATTCCGGCAGCCCAGTCCCATTGTTAGTTCTTCCCTACATGAATCACAGACCAGAACCATCTCTATTTTTCGAGCTGTTGGTTCTGTTCTAAGAAACAACCAAGTCAGCCTTGAGAGCATGGGTTCGCGGATCGCCTGGAGACGCCAATCACGAAGGCATCCTAACCGCGGGCGCGACAAATAGCGTGGACTAGGCCCCAAGAAGTGGTCGATGTGCCCCTCTGAGTTATTCTCCCCTGACACAACCCAAGCCCTCGGAAGCGAGGCCAGAAACGACTCTCTTTTATAGGGCGGTGGTGTCGAAACCTCGAGGATCGAAGCGACGCAGGTTCAAGGTCTGGCGCTTATACAAGTGGGGAGGATCCTCTGAGGGACGCGCTATTGGGAGTTGAGACAACCACTTGGCCGCGGATGGTAGACGCTCAGCCGGCCAAAACGAAACGAAACAATTGAGTCATTCATTGAACCTGTAGGTGTGTGTCCTCGGGGGTCTGCCCTGGGTCCTGATAATGGGTTGTGTTGCAGCTTACTTGGATCACTTTGCCAGAAGCTTTGGTATAGCAATCATCAGACTGGCCCTTCGGCCTGATCATGAGCTAAGTTCTCTTCTTTCAATTGATGACTGTCAATGGATGCATTGTATTAGACACATGTAGCTCAAAGAGAGAAAACATGGTTCAGTGGTAAAAAATTGCAGCAACAGACAATACAAGTCACAGGGATCTCTCACGGCAAGCATGGTATACCAGTCACTGGTGATGACCAATGATGATGGCCTCCGATTGGTGTAGCAGGTCACACGTTGATTGATATATAGATAAAGCTTATTTTGGACTTTTCTTATCAATCAGTGCATATTGGATTCAAGCCATTATCTGGTGCAGAGTGAGCGAACTCTGCCAGCTCGCGTGATGAGTGAGCTATGCGGCGAGAGCAAAATGCATTGTCATCCATCACCTTGAGCTCGATAAAAAAAAAAGTATCGCCCTAAAGAAGGAAAAGCACTGAACAACAATGCCAGTCTCAAGATATCAGAAACCAACCCTGCCACAATTGATCAGCCTAGTACCTAGTGGTACACTTTGCAGTCGTTGTAGCTCTGGAGGGGCTCTGCTCAACAGATGATGTCCCTCCTTCAACAATGGTTGGGCCAGGGACTTCATAGTCAACAGAGCTAGAGTAGACATTGACAAGAATTCCAGGATCTTCGATGTCGTAAAGCTCAGTACCGAGGTAGCCAGATGGAGAGTCGGAACCATCGCCTGTGATTCTGAGGTTGAAACATTGTGGATAGTTTTGGGCACCGCCTCGCTCAAGAGCATTGTGCAGAGCAATGATTTCGTGTCGGAGGACGTAGTTCCCAGGCGCAATGTTCTCTGGAATTCGGACGTTCCACCTGTCTCCATTCTCTTGAAGAACACTGTCTGCATACCTGCCAGGAGTGCCCTGCTCAAGTTGACCCAGACCATCAATCTTGAAGAACTCAAGTTCAGTCTTGTCAACTCGCTCACAAGGGCCCTTGCAATTGGCGAGGTAGTTCAAGATAGGGCCGATGTGGTTTTCAGGCCAGCCTGACCATCGGAGGGTGATGACGTCGCCTGCCGTGACTTCGATGTGGCCCTCAGCTGGAGTGGCATCGCGGTGGCAGATGATATCAGGATCGCCATAGGCTTCAGGGGAAACGAAACCATTGTCTCGCTGCGAGATGGTCCAGCCAGCAACGACAGGAGGGTTCTCCATGTAGGGAAAGTCAGTGCTGCCATAGCCTTGATAAGACACACCGTTGATGATGATCTCATCAACATGACCATGGGCAGAAACGATGATGGCAGGAAGAAGAAGAGCAAGCCAGCAAGCGGCCTTAAAACGAGTCATCTTGAAGGGGAGGCCCATGGTGAAGATTAAGGCAGAGGTCGAGAAATATCAATGAGTGTGTAGTCAAAGAAAGAGTGTTGGAATGGGATGAAGGAAATGCTCTGCGGTTCTCATTTTCCCTAACCTTGGGAGATCACTCAGACTTTATACCTGAAGCTGGGACAACCAAATTTCATTTGAATATCTGCGTTTGAAACTCTCCTGCATCTCCTCCACACCAACGATAACCTTACCTTGATTAAAGGCACAGAGGAGTTTTCCTCCGATGTAGTTATCCTGTTTCTTGGCGAATCAACACCCGAAGGATGTATCGGCTGTATCATGATTGGTCTCCCCTTCGGCTGTCAACTTTTATCCCCTGATCTGTACAACATTCCCAGACAAGATTTCCGCAGGGCCAAGAAACAGCCACAGTAGGAGATACATCAGACGAGAAACCAGAGTCAGAGGTAAATGCTCTATAATGACTGCTTGAATCAGGGGGGAGAGGCTGAACCAAAGCGCCAACTTGATCTCTAGACGAATAGGGTGCTGTTTCTACCTGCATGCAGACGGAACAGAACGTGACGGGAGCTTGCAGCCGTTGTTTCAACATGGGGTATTCCGACTGTGCGTACTCATTGGAGAAGCGTTAGTCAATGACCTGCAGCAACCCGTACGCCACTTGGAGTTGAGACGGCTGAATTAGAGTCCCGGGATGCCGAAGGCTGGATGACAACTATGAGGCATCGGATCAGCCAGTCGAGAAAGACTGAAATTGAGGGCAGGCTCAGTACCTAGCTTCGTAAGCAAAAGAAATGTCTCAGGCCGAAATCTCACTTGATTGTGAAGTAAACAGGAATTCGTAAGATATTCAAGAGTTGTGATCTGTCGTTTGGATATAAATATGTGTGGACTACTAGAAAACAACCCCTTTTATCATTTTGCACCATTTTTAGAAAGATGGGGGTGGATATCATGCCGTCTCTTCGTCAAGCTCGTAGGGGAGAGATACATCCCAACCGCAACGCCATGCCAGGAAAATGCACCTCAGTGCATACACCACAAACATTCATCACTGTGCCGTCTTAGAACTCGCCTTCTCCACCATGGCCAACCACACTGGCAGTCCAGAGACCAACTAGTCCCCACCAGTTGACCTTCCAGCCTCTCCAGAGTCCCTCGCGACCCTGGCCCTTGTAGACTGTGGCGGCAACACCCTTAGTCTTAGCCTTGCCTTTCTTTGCTGCGGCTGGTTTCGTGCTGGTGACCTCGTGAGTTCCCTCTTCGTTCACGATATGGAACATGGTACCAAAGGTGCCTTCATAACGCCCTGGGGGGACAATAGTTGTGAATTGTTGGTCAGGACCGCTAAGTGCTTGCACATATTCGTGGCTTGACAGAACCGAAACCTGACCACGTCGAAGGACAGTCTCAATAGGAAGCTTGAGCAGAATCGCAGATGATGAGGCGACGAATTTGGCGATAGAAAAGGTCATTGGCGAGACATGGCTGTCGATCATGAACTGAGTTCGGAGAACCAGGGGTGTTGAGAGAGTGATAAGAGGGTGGATCAAGGAGTTGAGGACGGTTGGTAGTACTAGCATCGACGAACACAGGTATGAGGGGAGGTTTCTGAGGGTGGCTAGCGTCCTGCGCTGGCCGTTTGAGCTCGGAGTGACAATAAGTCTGGCCAACGTTAGTTTTGCTTTTGCAACCAAGATGCGATAGATCATACCTAGTTCGCACCAAATCTAATGGCGATAGAGCGAGTCCTGTAGCCACAGCAGCAGCCGCGGCGACAAAGAGCGACGCCCAAGGATACGGCGAGGCGATATCGATCATGCGATCGATGTCTTCTCTAACGCCCATGTCCGGGACATTGAAGATCGCACTGAGAAAACTTCTACCCCAATTTTCCAGCAGCGACTGCAACACCGTGTAGAGAAATGTCGCATTCGATCCCTTCCATACACCCCAAGCACCTTCTTTCCCCCACAGCTGCCCAATCACTTCAAGAATCGAGTCTGGTCGGCGGAGTGTGAGGTAATGTTCCGGAACATTCGGTTTCTTCACAGGAGAAGGAGCTCGTCGACCGTGTGAGCCTCTAGGAGTCGAGGGACTGGGGGTCGATGGTACGTGAGATGTGAAATAGGCAGGTTCCTCGCCTTCAGAATCTGAGTCTCCGAACTATGCGTCATGATTTAGCGGTGTACCTCCCACCAAGCTCCAAATTCACTTACACCACCGTACATAGAGCTTCCGTGAAAAGAGGGCTGTCTCTTAGGCGTCTCCGGCTCAACAGGAGTTTCGTATGCAGCATTTTCATCCTGGTTCCGGACCTGAAGCAACGTCTTTGCTACCTCGAAAGGTTGGGCCATGAGTACTGAGGTGTACTTCCATAGCAGCTCATCGATAAGGTCCTTGACATTCTGGACCATAGATGGGGAGGTATCGCCTAAATAATCATTGTATTCCAGGTCGGATAGGATATCGCGTGCTTTGGAGGCATATCTTTCACCAGCTGCAGTCACATGTCGTCCATCGGGGAATGGGTTTGGGCTAGGGCTCGACTTATTGACTGTCTCGGCGGCTTCTCCAATTGTGGGAGGGATGTAGTACGGCCTCAAGGGATTGACGCCTTCTCTGTGAGTCGACATGGTTGGTCGAGACAACACGACGACATAAACCTCTATAAGAAATAATTATAGAGAAAATGCGACAGTTGAGAGCTCTAACGTTACCCGATTCCCACCAGAGAAAATGAAATCATGCCTGCCCATGGCCCCACCCCGGCCACCCGGAGTTAGACGTCGGACTCCGGCCAATGAATTTCCCGGCCGAAAGCGCTGTTTTGCTGATCCGCTATCCGAGACTACTCACTTTTTTTCGGGCTTGCTTAATATCATCTTGGACGTGAGAGGACGAGACGGGGGCATAAGCGTCCATTGACCGAAATTGGCGCATCTAGAGCCTCTCAACACTTTCCCTCTTCAACTTAAGGACTGTGCAGTTTGCCATTGAATATATAACGTTTGTGACCCTCAGTTCCTCCATTAATTTTCGACGAGAACCCCGCCAATATCCCGAATTCGCCGAAACTATGTCTGCGTCACGATCCTTTGCGACTTGCTTGGCCAAGCTTCCGGTTGCGGCACCACGAACAATACAGCCAATGCGACTTGGTCAGAATGCAGTGTCTCAGACGTCCAAAGGTCGATCCTCTACAATCTCTCGATTTACTCGCTTCTCGCCTGTTTCCCATAGAGCATTCACTACCACGACACAACGGCGCCATGGACACATTGACCCCCCGAAGCCCGGTGAGGAGTATGTTGAACCTAAATCCCAGCTGGAAAGCATTTGATTGACATTGCTTAGACTTTATGTCACGTTCATCGAGAAGGACGGCACAGAGAACAAGTTTGCTGTTTCTGAGGGGGATAACCTTCTCGATATCGCCCAAGCAAACGATCTAGAGATGGAGGGCGCGTGCGGAGGATCTTGCGCCTGCTCGACATGCCATGTTATCGTTGCTGACGACGCATATTTCGACAAGATGCCCGAGCCCGAGGATGACGAAAACGATATGCTGGACCTGGCCTTTGGACTCACCGAGACGAGTCGACTGGGCTGCCAAGTTAAGATGACCAAGGAGCTAGACGGCTTAGTTGTGAAGCTGCCATCCATGACGAGGAACCTGCAAGCGAGCGATTTCAGTTAAGAAGCTTAATGAAGCACATGTTTTGATATGAGATGAGGAAAACTCTGTACTTTGTAAAACTACTGTATTTGGAAAAGACCGGGCGATGGCGGGGATTCAGGTGCATCATACGGGGTATCTTTGTTGTGACATTTAGTTGTAAGGCCGGAACAGCACGGCCTGATGATTCCACTACTCCTCTTAAACGAAAGAAAGAAATGAACACACTGAAATGATATTACGCCTCCTCGAGCGCTCCCTTTTTTAACCCGCCGCCTCCTGAGGCGATTAATTCCAAGAAACCCTTCTTACTCATCTCATTGACCTTTTCCTCTCGCTTCTTCATACCGATAACACCCTCCTTTTTCACACCCTTCTCGGCTTCAACAGCCTTGACTTGTGCGGCACGAACGGCGTTGAACAGCTTGACAACACCACGCTGCGCAACCTTTCGTAGCCTCCTCTCTGTCACCATAATCTCCGATGTCGATGTCTCGAGCTCTCCAGTGGCGTCGTTTGTGGTTGCGATAAGAACATCCTTCACACGGCCCTTCTCGAAAGCTCGCTTCTTCTGCTCGCGCATCTGCTTTTTCGCCTTGGATTCTAAGGCGCTGTCGACAGCGGCCTTGGAGGCTTCGTGTGCTGCCGCACTTCGGGCGAGGACAGGATCTGATCGCTTGGACGATGATAGCTTGGTAGAGAGAATCTTGGAGAGCGATGTTGCGAAGGCATTGGGGTCGTTTCGCTTGGACTTTTTGCGTTTGTTTGTGGAATCGTCATCCTCATCGTCATCGTCTGACCCTTCGTCGTCATCATCGTCTTCCTCTTCGTCGGATTCAGCTTCTGGTTTGCTGTTTCTGGCATTCTTGGCGTTTGTTTTTGTCTTCTTCAGGGGCTTGTTTGCCACAGCGCCCTCGTCTTCTGAGCTTGAAACTTCATTTTCGGAGTCGCCAACATCGTCCACCTTGACATTGTGAATATCGTCGTCTGAATCAAGCAGATTTACAGCGTCAAACTCTTGCGCCTCCTCGGATTCAGAGTCACTGTTGTAATCTCGGAGTTGCTTTCTCTTTTGCTTTTTTGTGGGCCGTTGTAGACGACCATCGTGCTGTCTCTTCTTTTTGTTTCCAGGTCCGGCCATTGTGAAATGTTTGTGTCGAGTTGATGAAGCTGGGATATTCAATGCTTCCAGAGCAAATCGTCGCGGATCTGAATTGGACGTCAAACTTTTGAGAATTTTGCCGGGGAAATTTTCTGGTCAGTGGAGGGGTGGGCCTGGGCGGTGAGCTAAGCTTCTGTGGATGTGTTGTGGGGCCGGTGCTAGTGGGGCCGTATTTAAGAGGTCCTGTAGCAGGTATTACTCTGTTGGAATTTATCCAGGTTTGGGGGCGAAGAAAGATTCCAAGGTGAAAGAGTGGTATTAAATAGTGCTATAGTTTTCAAAAACTGAATATTGGTCCCGCCTCTTGTGTAAAGATCTAACATCTAAAAGAACTTGCTGAGCTTGTCCCATAGTGATGGGGGTACGACCGTCTCAACAGGAACTGCTTCAGGCGCATCCGGAGCCTCCACCGTTTTCTTCCAGGTTTCCTTTCCGTCGATGTAAAGAGTGTAGTGCAGTGAACTCCCACCGTTTTCGAATTTCTCAATAGAAAAGGATCCGAACTTCGACTTGCCTCCAGGGATATACCTTGGTGTCTGTTAGTAGCTGTGCCTTGATCAATGGAGCATAAACTTACTTCATCATAATATCATCGTCTGTCTGCTTGTACGTTGGGAATGGAGAAGCGAATTGGTTCAAAGGACTTGTTGAAAACTCGTGAGCAGCAGCGGACTGTGGCCATCGCGAGTCAGTTGGGGGTGGAAATCTGGTTGCGGCGAATTCATGGCGATCTCCAGAGAGGATAACGACACTGGCGCCTCTAGCACCAGAATCCCACATAGCTTCTAGGACTTGCTTTCTCTCAGCAAGGAAACCACCCCAGGTATCCTTCACATTGATAGGCCAGTTCTTGGTGAAAGGAACAGAAGAAGCAATGAACTTCCATCGAACTCCTTGAGGAACAGGACGCTCCAACCATGCCAAAAGGTCAGCCAATTGCTCCTTGCCTAGCATGGTCTTGTCTGTGGCATTGAAAGGGGCGTTGTTGCTGGAACGATAGCTGCGGGTATCCATCATGAAAAAGGTGGCAGGTCCTTGGGTGAACTCGTACCATGTGGCATTGCGTCTCAGGTTGAGAGAACCTGCAGCTTCAGAAATCGGTGGGTTGACATTGGCTTGGTAGATGTGCCAAGGGTCAACAGCCGCGCTGTAGATGCCAGTTGTGTTAGAAGACCAATCGTTGGAGATCTCATGGTCATCGAGCACGTGAATCCAGCTCAGATTCTGTGCAACAGGGGCCCAGTCAGGTGAAGCATAGATTTGGCGGTATTGCATGCGATACTCGTCAATCGTTTTCCCAAAACGTTCAGGGACGTCAACATAGATGAAGTCGCCAAGGAAGAGCATGAACTGAGGATCCAACTTAGGAAGTAGACCTGCAAGATTCCTCAGGCCAGGGATAGCCAAAGCATGTTCCATAGGGTTGTAGGGAAATCGTGGAAGAATGCAAGACGTGGACAGGAAGGTAAAAAGGCCATCCTTGGTGTTCGGCATCTCTCCAACCTTGGGAGCAGAGCGAAACTCGCCGGTGTGGTTGTTGGAAGTCCTCCACTCGTAGATGTTCTGCTTCGCGGAGTCAAGAGGCACTGTAAGAGTTGTGGTAAAATCGGTGCCGTTGTCTGTCGAAGTGACGTAGCCTGCAGTGAGCCAAATCTTGGTGTCATAGGTCGGCTCATCATCCTTGATGTGATATTCGAATGTGATGGGCATTTGCAACTGATCGGGCTCGCGAATGACGAACCTCGCCTCTGATGGTGACACATATCCGAGTCTAACAAAAGAAAGATCATCAGACGGATAATACCACCTTGCACGAAACAAAGCATCAGCCGTCAAGCCGATAAGAATGGCGTTGATGAGGAAGGTGAAGAACGACGCAATTGGGCGCCTAGCACTGGGAGCTCCGGACAAGAGGATGTTTGCAATACTGGGAACCTTCTCTCCAACAGTAAGCTTCTCCTTAATGTCAACAACTTCGGCGACAACCTCAGCCTCAGGTGCGACTGCCACACCATCCTCTGTTAATAATGGAGTTTCAGAGGTGACTGTGGACTCTTTGACAGTGACGTCGACTTCATCCTCGATAACTCCAATCTCTGGCTGAGCGAAGTAGCTCGAAATGTAAGAAGGAACATAGATTGCAAAAAGCGCAAACGCGATGGAAGGGAAATGTGCCTGGAGGATTCGGTTAGTTGGTGAGATTAAAGCTTCTTGAACTGCGGCTTACTGGGAACTATAGTCTATGGTCAGCACTTTCTCGTGTTAGCAAGTATGAGCAACTAACAAGTCTGAAGAATATGAGAGCGCTTATCCTCAGAGCGACTGAGGACAGCTTTGCGGCCTTCGTTTGAAGAGCCATGATGACGACTCCCTCTAAAAGGAGATACCAAAACAATCAAGGGGGAGTTCGCGAGAGCTGGGATGAGACGGGGGGTGTAAGACAAGACAGCTCTGAAATCTGCGGTGGAATTAAGGAGAGTCAAGAAGAACAAAAGCTGGAAATTCATATATCAACAACTCAACGCGTCATGAGGAGCAAGTTATTTATCAAGAAGACAGCCCCGTTTTACCTGAAGCTTTGTTATGAAGGACTACCTTACAAGGGGGTGAGGTCATGGTCTGAGATGACCCTGTCCTGTAACATTACCTTGGCTCGTATTGGCTTATAACCTCATGTGTGGCGTAGCTGTGGCTAAACATTTCCCCGACCTGGGCCAGCTGGGCGGGGTCTTTCAGCCACACGGCATAGGATCCCACCCCGCCGCTACCTAAGCTTGTGCTACGCACCTGAGCCACACTTTCAATGCCCCTCTCCGATCTCGGCAGTTGTGTAGCGGGGGTAAGGGTAAGGGAAGCTCAGCGATATCTCGTCGAATTTATTCTTTAATTTCCTCTTCCTTTTCTAACCAATTACTCTCGTACTTCGTCACATAAAACGGATTCTTCTACCAGATAAGTATTGTAACCATGGCGGAACACAACATCGTTGTCTTTGCGGGCGACCACTGTGGCCCAGAGGTAGGCTACCCGCGAGCTTTCCCACCCTTCACTCTAGACGGAGAGAGGCTGACTCTGGTTATTTTGCAGGTTATTGCCGAAGCAATTAAAGTATGAGTCTAGTGTTTTCGATCTGCAGTTGGGCATGTCTGACGCAGAATTTAGGTTATCAAGGCGGTTGAGGACAACAGCCCGACTGCTGGCAAATTCAATTTGAATCACCTGCTGCTCGGAGGAGTAAGTCGTCCCTGGATGACGGATCACTCGGGTCCGAAGACATTCATGAGAGAATTCTCTTGCTGACTTCTGCTTTCTCCCCAGTGCTCTATCGACAAGACCGGATCCCCTCTTACAGACGAGGCCCTCGCCGCCGCCAAAGCCTCCGACGCTGTGCTCCTCGGTGCCATTGGCGGCCCTGAATGGGGCACTGGCGCCGTTCGCCCGGAGCAGGGCCTTTTAAAGCTACGCAGTGAGATGTGCGCCTATGGAAACCTCCGTCCCTGTTTCTTCGCGTCCGACGCGCTCGTCGAGACCTCCCCCCTGAAGGCGGATGTTTGCCGTGGCGTCGACATGATGCTAGTCCGGGAATTGACCTCAGGCCTGTATTTCGGAGAGAGGAAAGAGTACGATGGAGTCAATGCGTTTGACACTACTGTTTATACGAAGCCAGAAATCGAGCGTATCGCACGGCTGGGCGGCTACCTAGCCAAGACTAGGGGAGACTCGCGGGTCATCTCGCTAGATAAGGCCAATGTGTTGGCAACAAGCAGACTCTGGCGTTCTGTGGTTGACGAGGTTTATAAGAACGAGTTCCCTGACTTGAAGGTTGAGCATCAGCTCATTGACAGCGCCGCCATGATCATGGTCAAGAACCCGAAGCAGCTCAACGGCGTTATGATAGCGCCAAACTTGGCAGGTGAGCAAGGCCCCTCGACCACCTCGTAGGCGGCTTAGCTGATGAGCTTTTAGGAGATATTCTGAGCGACGAGGCGAGCGCCATAACTGGCAGCATAGGGCTCCTCCCAAGCGCTAGTCTCTGCGGAGTTCCGGAAGTAGGCTCTAAAGTGCTTTCTATCTATGAACCTATTCATGGTAAGACTCCCATCCTCCACTCGAGCCCTTCAAGATATCAGTCGCTAACTCAGATGACAGGTAGCGCGCCGGACATTTCAGGAAAGGGGATTGTCGTACGTTAAAACCCTGTTTCGGACGGTTCCTATACATTTGCTGCAAGCCCAGAGCTGACATTATTTCTAGAACCCCATTGGCACCATCCTTTCCGTGGCTATGATGTTGCGGTACTCTCTGAATCTTCCCCACGAGGCTAAAGCCGTTGAGGACGCGGTTCGAGCTGCCATCGACGCCGGACTAAGAACCAAGGATATGGGCGGCAGCACAGGCACCGCTGAAGCAGGAGATGCCATCGTTGCTGAGCTAGTCAAGGTTCTCAAGGCATGAGGTATCTCACGCCTGAAGGAAAATAGACAGCGAGGGTGCAACGAGAAAAAACAGAGGTTGGGGGGTGGAAGATATAAAGATGATAGTTGCTACGGAAGCGTGAGTTGAGAACAGAAGCGGTGGGGGAAAACAGTGGTTGACAGAAAGAGGCTTCAGATAGCTGGCGAAAAAATAAAAAGAGCAGTTACCTAATAACTGTCAAGCTAGAGATAGCTATATCACTACAAACGAAAGATCAAACACAGAGATATCCAATGCTGAAGCACAGTTAGCAACTCCCTATCAGGAATCGGATACAAGTACCTCCCTAGCATCGGGCGGGACGGGACGGGAGACCTGACAATGCAATCACGTGATGCCGACTGTTCAGTCAGGAACAGGGTCGTTGGCTCCGACACATGTCCACTTTAGCGACAGCTTGTCCTGAACAGCACGCGACAACATCCTACACAAAGCCGCAACAATGAGACTATCAACACTTGTCGCTGGGCTTTTCGCCGGTCTGGTCACCAATGTCGCTGCTACTGCTTTGACATACAAGCTCGATGCCAACGAGAAGGCCTGTTTCCATACCACCACGAAAAAGCAGGGAGAGAAGATCGCATTCTACTTTGCTGTGAGCCTCCTCCAATGCAAGTCACCCGCCGAATTTGGAGTTTAACATGAACTACAGGTCCAATCCGGTGGTTCTTTTGATGTCGACTACGTCGTGGAGGGTCCCAATGGCAAGATCATCATGGATGGTCAAAAGGAGCGACAAGGCGATTTTGTCTTCTCCGCCAACGTTGTCGGCGACTACTCTTTCTGCTTCGATAACGAGATGAGCACCTTCGCCGAGAAGTTTGTCGATTTCGAGATTGCCGTCGAGAACGAGTCCCGCGCCCAACTGCCTTCCAAGCAGGGTACCACCCCCGAACAGACTTCGATCCTCGAGGACTCCATCTTCAAGGTCTCTGGCCAGCTTTCGACCATTTCCCGAAACCAGAAGTACTTCCGAACTCGTGAAAACCGTAACTTTGCCACCGTCAACAGCACTGAGGGCCGAATCATCAACTTCAGCATGATCCAGATCGGTCTGATTATCTGCATGGGTGCCCTGCAGGTGTTTGTTGTTCGATTCTTTTTCCAGGTAAGTCCTACTTGCGTGTATGAAAGTTCGCGGAGCGCTGGCTAACTATATAATCAGGGTGCGCGCAAAGGCTACGTATAAGGAAATCGCTGTATCATATACGACGGAACTAGGTGTTACGAGGCGCGGAATCAAAAGGAGATGGATATCGGAAGTGTTTCGTATAATCAGCGGAAGCAGAGCGCTTGAACTGTCTTGAGAGTCTGGTATTTGGGTTGAATTTACAGATTTGCGATACTGATATGATAGCTGTCATGATACGCTTTTGCTTGGCCTGACAGTCAATGAAATGACATGAGGCTGTGGCAATTTACATTTATGAATAGGTGTTTTCCATGCGAATTGAAGTTCTCTGCTGACTTCTGCCATTATCAACATCCAAGTCCCCTGATCATCTTCACGCACTTGAAATAATACCTGGCCAGTAGTTTCTCAACCAATGAGATGACATTTCTGGGCATGGCTCCAATAGCTCCATGCTTTCAATACAGTAAATTACCCCTGGACTTTTGTTAGCCCAGATAATCCTGCCATAAAAACAAAGATATCTCTATGTTTCTTAAATTTTCATATAATAAAGATAAAAAAGAAGATTATCAAAAATCGAACGGCTGAGGTAGTAATGCCTCCATGGATATGTAAAACACAGTTCAGATACTCCCTGAGCTCTTGAATTGTACAGGCTGAGGAGGTCTTTCACGTGGTTCCAGGAGCTGCCTGATTGCAAAGCTTCAACGCCCAATTACGTTACCCTACCGTGAGCTGCCTTGCAAACTTCAATCCCAAATGCTAGGAATGGTCTTCGGGTATGATTTATCCGCTTCACAATCTCTGCAACTTTAATTATTTTTTCTATTGTCACTCTTCAATCGGATTTAAACTTTGCTTTTCAAGGTTGCTTGATGCACCATCAAATCTTGGCGTAGCACCAAGCTACTCTGTGCGCTAAACCTTTTCAAGAGCCGTCGCCTCTTGAAATTCTAAACCTTGGAGCCTCGCGACTGACGAATGATCCAAACAACTACATTCTCACAAACACAAAATGGCATCACTCGCCGGGTCGCTTCAGGCTGCGCTGCCCAAACCAAAGTACACGGGCGAAGATGAAGAACCTCCGGCGCGAGCGCAACAACGCGGTGTTCGAATTGTTGGCCCCGGGCAACTTGACGAAACCCAGCTGGTCCTCAAGCGATCTGGTCCCCCAGCATATGGCCAGCGCTCAGGATGGCGCCCTCGATCGCAGGAGGATTTTGGCGATGGAGGTGCTTTTCCTGAAATCCCGATCGCTCAGTATCCGTTAGAGATGGGAAAGAAAGGAGGAAATTCTAGCAACGCGTTGGCAATTCAAGTTGATTCCGAGGGCAAGGTCAAATACGATGCCATCGCGCGACAAGGACACAGCGAAAGTCGTATCGTTCACACTTCATTCAAGGAGTTGATCCCTCTTCGACAACGCGCCGACGCGGGCGAGATCGATCTTTCGCGACCTGACAAGGAGTCTGTGGAGGCAACAACAGAGAGGACGAAGAACGCATTAGCTGCATTGGTCTCGGGAGCCGTCGCAGCCCAGAAACCGAAGAATGTTAATATTGGGCAACGAAAAGACGCTACGTTTGTTCGATATACACCTGCAAACCAGATGGGCGACAACTCCAAGAAGCAGGACCGCATCATGAAGATTGTCGAGCGCCAAAGAGATCCCATGGAACCGCCAAAGTTCAAGCATAAAAAGATTCCTCGAGGACCACCTTCGCCGCCCCCACCAGTTATGCACTCACCACCACGAAAGCTCACCGCTGAAGACCAGGAAATGTGGAGGATTCCTCCCCCAATTTCGAACTGGAAGAACCCCAAGGGATTCACAGTACCATTGGATAAGCGCCTGGCTGCAGATGGACGAGGCTTACAGGATGTGGTCATTAGCGACAGTCATGCTCAATTGGCCGAAGGTTTAAAGACGGCCGAGCGTTTTGCTCGTGATGAGGTTCAGAAACGTGCCATGATGCAACAGCGCCTAGCGGAGAAGGAAAAGTCACAAAAAGAGGATACTCTTCGAGAATTGGCCCAAAAGGCCCGGGCAGAACGGGCTGCTGCTGGTCGTGGACGTCGAGATTCTCGTGACTCTGGGGACTCGAGGGACTCGAGGTCGCGGTCACGAAGCTACAGTTACTCCGACTCAAATCGCTCTGACAGTGAGGATGAAGAAGTCAGAGAGCGTGTTAAAGCACGACAAGAGAAACAGAGGGAGGAAGAGCGAAAGCTACGACAAAACCGTATGGGAGCTGAACGCCGAGCTCAAGTTATGGCCCGTGAACAAGGCAGAGATATATCTGAGAAGATTGCTCTAGGCCTAGCCAAACCTACACAATCAAAGGAGACGATGTATGACTCGAGACTTTTCAACCAAACAAGCGGATTCGATAGTGGTATTAACGAAGATAACCCTTACGACAAGCCTCTCTTCGCTGCCCAGGACGCCATCAACAGTATTTACCGGCCACGAGCGAATGTGGATGATGATGACGATGGCGAAGCTGGTGACAGGGAAATGGCCAAGATCCAGAAGAGCAGTCGTTTTGGTGAAGCCCTTGGCAAGGGAACTTTCAAAGGTGCCGCAGACGCCGAGGTCAGTTTCCATTTTCACAGAACGCCTTCTAAAACTTTGCTAACAAGCTCAACACAGGCACGTGAAGGACCAGTTCAGTTTGAGAAGGATGCTGGAGATCCTTTCAACGTTGACAAGTTTCTATCTGAGGTAGACCAGAACTCATCGTCTAAGCGAGGTTATGGCTTGCAGGATGAAGACAACAGACAATCCAAACGACCGCGAGTCGACCCTGACGACGACGAAGATTAAACAGCAAAATTGTGGAGAGTTAGTGGTTATACAGTTAGACTCAGTGAGCCGTCAATAGGCAGTTTTTGGATCACAGGAAGCATATTTACAATGCCAAGACAGTACCAGAGCACAGCCCTCGGTGCTTGGCGAATTAATCTTATTCAACTGCCTCATGATACCAACCGTTCAATGCTAAGACCATCGTTGGGGGAGGCCCCAGCTCCAATACGTGGAATCACCTGGATCTCATCTCCCTCCGCATTTCGGATATATGACCAATTTGGGCTTGTTTGCGGGGTAGACGTCACGAACTGTCAACCTTTGGAGAATCGCCATGGTGTTGACCAGGTCTACAAGGTCATTTGCCTGTGTGAAGCTAGCTTTCCCCTGATACTCGCTGATCGTTGACCCGAAACCGAGAGCAGGGGGCTTTTATTTCTCCCGAACAATTTGCTAAAGTTCGGCCTTAGCCTGAAAAGATGTGATCGACAACGTCCCCATGGGGAAATACATGACCAAGCTACCCTCACCTTCTCATGAAGGCTTCATCCCCCACAAGGTTGTTGGGGGTTGTTTGTGGGGTCAAGGGTGACTTGTGTAGTTATAAAGAGAGTTGAGGTCTCATTGATCGCCCTGGAGTTGTTGATCGATAGCTTCTGCCACTTTCACCCATCGCAGCCTTGACTATGAAGTTCCGCAAGCTTTCGGCCGCTTTTCTCGTTTCGCTGCTCCAGGCACCTCAATTGGTAGCCGCGGCTCTCAATGCGACCGAGACCGATACACAGTTGGTGATTTCGAACGACCGACTATATGCGGCTGTTCAGAAGAAGGGCGGCGCCATTGTAAAGCTCACTCTTGACGGAACGAACCTTCTCGGGAGCCCATCTGGATCTACAGGCATTGGGCCTTACCTTGATTGCTACTGCACGCCCAAGGGATTCTGGACGCCGGGTTCTGTGGCCCCCAAGTACAAACTCTTTAAGGGTAAAGATGGCAAGGGTAAGGACTATGGCGGGATCGTCATGTCCGACACGTACACCGAGACAGGTCAGGTTCTGGAGCAATACTGGTTCTTGAGAGATGGAGAAACTGGCCTCCATACCTTCAGTCGAGTCGCGTATCATAACGAGGAGCAGCCCTTCCTTCGCAACCTTCAGGAGCTTCGAACCCTTTTCCGACCGAATAACGACATGTGGACTCATCTCCTGACCAACACGAAGCAATATGCGCCTCTCCCAGGCAAGGAAGCAAAGGAGAAGCAGGTTGTGGTGCAAGATGCCACATGGTATCTAGGAAACACACCAAATGATCCATATGTTAAGCAGGAAGCGGATTACTTTACCAAGTATACGTTCCAAGACAGCTGGCGTGATATCGATGCTTATGGATTGTGAGTTACATGCGTCTCGGCATTTTGGGATATTTGACTGACAGATAAAAGATTCGCTGATGGTTCCAAGACCGAAGATGGAGATGCATATGGTGCTTGGCTTGTCATGAACACCAAAGACACCTACTTTGGTGGCCCTCTGCATTCTGACTTGGTTGTCGATGGTATTCTTTACAACTATATTAGCTCTAACCATCATGGAGATCAAACGGTAAGTCAACTTACTTCTCTATTAAGACTAGAACTAACCTGTTCAGCCTAACATTACCAATGGATTTGACCGAACATTTGGACCTGTAAGTCTATCTGAAGCATCTAGCATCCATACCAATTTCTCTAATCTCTTGTAGCAATACTTCCACTTCAACCGCTTTCCTGGAGAGACCGACATCTTGAAAGCCCAGGCTGATGCAGCTCAATACGCCGACCCTGAGTGGAATGCCGATTTCTACGATTCAATTGCAAAGCACGTTCCTAACTATGTACCAACGAAATCACGAGGGTCCTTCGAGGTCAAGGTCGATCTTCCCAAGGGGGCTAAGAATGCCATTGCTGTTCTCGCACAGAGCGGCGTGGACTTCCAAGACAATGTCTTCAATACAAAGGCTTACCAGTACTGGGCTAATCTTGATGAGAGCGGCCGTGCTACTATTCCTCGAGTCAAGTCTGGAACATATCGTCTTACCGTCTATGCCGACAACATCTTTGGACAATACACTCAGGATAAGGTCAAGATCAAGGCTGGCAAGACAGAGAAGAAGAATGTCCGCTGGAGGGAAGAGTCCGCTGGTAAGGAACTCTGGCGAATTGGTACTCCTGACAAGACCTCTGGTGAATACCGCCACGGTTTCGAGCCCGACACATCCAAGCCGCTGCAGCCGGAACAGTACCGTATCTACTGGGCCAACTGGGACTTTGTCCAGGACTTCCCTGACGGTGTCAACTTCAAGGTTGGGGAGAGCGATGTCGGCAAAGATCTCAACTACGTCCACTGGAGTGTTTTTGGAGGGAAGGGCAACTCCGTACGCCCAGATCAGTATGTTGGCGATGGCAATGTCAACAACTGGACTATTGCCTTCGATCTGAAGGAGTCGCAGGTCAAGCACAAGAAGCATGCAACTTTTACCGTTCAACTTGCGGGTGCCAAGACTGCTGCTGGAAACACGGATATCTACAATGCTTCTGAGCCTCACTCGAATCTCAAGTACACCGTGAACATCAACGGCAAGGATCTCGAGCCTTGGGTTATCCCGTAAGTCAAACCTGGGTCTCTCGAAGACGAGCTATACTGACCCTTCCTAAGTTACGACCACAGCAGCTCCTGTGCTGTTCGCTCCTCGGTGAGCTGCTACAATATCGCTCATAAATTCGAGTTCGATGCCAAGTTGTTGAAGAAGGGTGACAATGAGATCATCCTGAGCTTGCCTTATAACGCTACCAACTACGAGTCTGCTGTGCTGCCAACATCGGTGTATGTTCAGTATGATGCACTCAGATTGGAGGTTGAATAGATTATAAGCTGTATATCGAGTTAACAACGAACAACGATTATCAAAAATGAATTTTATGATTCCTTGGGACAAGAAAATAATTAAAAACATGATCCTAAATTTTCCGACATCATACGACAGGGCTGATCTTTTGAAATTATTTGGTCATCAGTTTCTGCATGGTCGGAGGGTTTGGCGTTGTAATAGCTAGCGCGTGAGGAGTTTGAAGGATCGCCATGATCAGAGAAGCAACAGTAACATCCCAGGGTTGCATAAAGTCAATGTTTTTCGGAGGCTTTTACTCTCAAACTGCTTTTATATAAACCCGACCTTGAAGTTAAGCAGAATCCTCTTGTTGAGTATCAAGACTCACAGCCCAGTTGATCTCAGTCTTGTACCTTTTAATCAATTCAACTGCATCAAAATGGCTTCTGGAGCGTTTTTCAACCCCAGGGTCCTCCTCTTAACAGCTCCCCTCGTCTCATCAAGCATCACACTCTGGTTCGCCCGTGACCAAAGTTTCTTCCTCACCCTCTTTACCAAGCCTCCCATTGAGCGCAAGAAGGCCAATGAGATCCTCCCAGGCTACATCAATAATTTCTACGGTTCAGGCCCGTGGGCGGTGCTCACTTTTATTGGCCTAACATTCGGCACTTCAATCGTCAATATCTGGTCTGACCGCGCTTTGCTCCGGTCTCGCGGCTCACTATTCTGGTACGGCTGGTCTGCTGCACTGGCGCTGGGACATCTTGCATATGTGCCTGCTGTAGCGTGGAAGCTCAGGGCGCTGTGGGAGGACAATTGCGCTGTGGAGGGGACGGATAATGTTGGGATGCTGGAGAGATGGTTGGCTGTCAATAATTTGAGGATGTTGACGACTGATCTTGGGGCATGGCTTTGTGCTGCTGTGGCTATTTCAAAGACATTGACTGTCTAAGCCATGGATGGTTGCTGGAAGGCGTTGGATGTCTTTTGTATGAAATTTATCGTCATTTCAGTCGAGGAGGATCTGCTGGCGGAGTGGGATTTGGAATCAGAGATCTTTCATATGTTACATTACATCGACGATGAGCGAGGCGTGATACGGAGTACTTAGTAGCATTTCAAACGCTCCCTTGATACTTTCTTAGGAGCTATCTGTAAGTAGTTATGTTACAATGGTAGCCGAGTCCCTTGCACACGCGACAGCATCATTTTCTATCCCCTCAGGTCTCAGACACGCTGTAAGCGGCTCTCGGCTTCACGGCATGTCTCGTACGTCTCATGCCTGTGTAAGTTATCCTCAATTTCTGTTAGCGTCGGCACCAAAATAAGACAATGTCCACTGAGCTCTCGAACTTAAATAATTCGAGCTCGTTCTTTTCAGTGGAGATTATAAATAAAGAGATCAGTAAAATGACGCGTTGCCAGGCCGTATTTCCGGTCATCGATTCATGGTAGTGTTGGGTTTACACGCTTCTGTCAGTTATTGGTCTGCAGATTACGCGTCTCGCTATCTGCTAGGAGCCATTTTCCGAGTTTAAGCTATCCCTTGAGACAGGTAAATAATGCAATCAACACGAACTATTTTTGTGGTGATTTCGGAAACGGTGTTGAGACTCTGGCTTATCAGTGGTTTTTGTTTGTGGTCTCTCGTGTTTACCCCTGAACCCTCCCATTCTCGTGGCTAACACGGCTGCACGGCTACGCGGATACCATCATCAGCCATCGAACTTCAGCCCACACCAAAAAGATGCATGCGCTAGGGAGTAGGCAGATCGGAAAGACGGCATGTGGGGGATGCCCCATGGGCGGCGCGAGTGCCGTCAAGTACCCTTATTATATTGATTTGCTGCTCATGATACCTACGTCAAATGCCCAATAAACTTTGGACGCAAGTCTTATAGAAAGGGACTGTGAATCACTCACGGGCTGTCTTGGATTGTGCGCCCGACTACCTACTTACCTCTCTGCAGCTGCACAGTATTGAAGGAAGGAAGAGAGCTGCTTTGCTCCTTCAAATGTTTCAACAGAAATTCATTCCTCATTTCCTCCTTCTGTGAATAAAAAAAGAAACTTGATTCATATGCTTCTGAGAGGGTGCACTCGAGGCTGAGACAACCCATTTCCATCAACATCCATCTCTTCTGCATTGCATTGCATTGCATTGCATTCCATTCTATCTATCCCCAACTCTCTTCTCTCTACTTGAGTTCACTTCACTTCACTTCACTTCTTCTCTTGATGCAAGCAACTTCAGCTCCAACTCGTCACTCACCCATCGCCCCAGTTCTTCCACTTCCAACTGCACAAGATGTCGATGTATTCATCTGGCGTCAAGCCTGGAGAGATACCTCCAATTTACGACGAGGTAATGCTAGCTCGCAAAGGCCAGGAAATCCGCCATGCGAGCTCATCAATGCCCTGGTGGAATCCTCGATACTGGCGAAAGAGAATCTGGGCCGCTATTATCATAGTCATCCTTGTTATAGTGATAATAATCGTCGCCGTCGCTGTGGAGAGAGCTAGAAAGAATATGTATCCTGACTACTCACCGTTATCGTACACCTTGAAAGACACATGTAAGTGCCTGTCACCCTCAACTTGGATATACAAAGACCCGCTAACCACCGCCCAGATGGAGGTGAATCCTTCTTTGACCAGTTCAACTATTTCACAGGATACGACCCCAGTAAGAACTACCTCTGATTTCAAGGGCTGTAATACTGACGCCTCTTTTCAGCTGAGGGCTTCGTACATTACGTTCCAGAAGCGCAAGCAAAAGATCTTGTAAGAAACCCCTACTGGCCACAACACAAGTTACTGCTTTGGATCATGTTCACCTAATAATCTCCAGAATCTCACATATGTTTCGCCCAGCACTGCCGTTCTCAAAGTCGACACTTCTGTCGGCCCCAACAGCAAGCCTAATGCGTCTACGGGTCGCTTTTCTGTCCGAATCGAGTCCAAAAAGACATACGAGAACGGTCTCTTCATCTTCGACGTCAAGCATACTCCCTATGGCTGTGGCACATGGCCGGCCCTTTGGCTTACTGACCGTTACAACTGGCCAAACCATGGAGAAATTGATGTGATGGAGTCGACAAACAAAGCTGAAGACGGGAATCAAATGACCTTGCACACTACCGGCGACTGCTCAATGGACGTACGCCGCGAGGAAACAGGAAAGACACTACAGAAAAACTGCAACCACGAAAAGGACGATAATGCAGGCTGTGGCGTTCTTTCAAAGCCTGCGGGATACGGCTCCGTCTTCAACAAGAATGGAGGAGGTGTGATGGCGGTTGAATGGCGACATGAAGGCATCCGCATGTGGCAGTTCGGTAGAGACTCTATACCATCAGATATCAAAGGAAACAACCCAAAGCCCGACACCTGGGGCACTGCTGTTGCCGACTTTCCCAACACGCATTGCGACATTGGCACGCATTTCAAAAACCAGAGCATCATTGCCAATATCGACCTGTGTGGTAGTCTTGTTTACCACGTTTGGGACGACTCTGGATGTAAGTTGGCTCATGTACTTGTAAGACATAATGCTGACTATTTTTAGGTTCGGGCAAATGCACTGATCTCGTCGCCAACAACCCTGAAGCATTTGAGAATGCGTATTGGGAGTTTGGGACTTTCCAAGTATACCAGGCAAGTTAAGCCTGAGTTTGTCCAAAGCAGATCGTGTGCTGTTTGCTCTTTTGAAAGCGCGGCGTTAAGAACAAAGGGGTCTTCAAGTTGCAATTATGGGATAGGCAGTCATTGCAAACATAAATTCTTTTGCTAAGATTACAGTGTAGGCTCGTGGATTCTACATGAGCAGCTCCTCTATGAAGCTCGGGTCTTAAAATACCTGTTAATACAAATGCCATATCGTCATCTCCATATCTATCCTTGTACCACCTTCGTACATTCAGTGGCAAACATTCCAAAAGAGGAGAGTCCGTCTCCCAACGCCGCCCTATGCTCTAGAAATATGATTACCGTAAACTCCCACGTCTGTAGAAAAGCCAAGCGTATTTATACATGTCTTAACCCACTCATCCGAACCCCAATTTTGTTCATATCAGCTGCCAGCATTTAGTCGTCCTTGGGTGGTGATCGCATGTATGCATCGATAGCCGCACTAAATGCTGCGAAAGCCAAACAACCACCTGCAGCAGCTTGAGGGCCAGCATTCTTGGCCAGAATACCGCCCGTCAAACATCCTGCGGCGACACTGTTCGTAAGATCGTTCTTCGCTCGCAGGCCTTCGATGCCGCACTCGACGCCGGAGTACAAAGCACCAACTTTTCCGAAGTTCTTGGCCATAGACCATGAACGTGTTCCCATATCCTTGAATCCGATCTTGAGTTGTTGCTTGAGAGGAAGCGATGTGATTGTGCTTTGTGGGCTACCGGGGGCGGCTGTGTGGTAAGGTGTATCGTAGGACATCTGGCAGGGATATTAGCTTGGGATAACGGGTCGAAGTTCGCCAAAGAACGTACAGAGGCCATGAACATTCCAAATAAACCACCCATACCGAATCCCATAACTCCCGACATGACTGACTTTCCAAAACAAGACTCCATCGCAGATTGAACCTACATTTCTCAGAGTTAGCTATGCGCCCCGCGAAATTCCGAGCAAGTTGCGCATCCACATACAGCTTTGACGTTGGGATCCTGAGGTCCGCCGATCGCAGGCGGTGCGGCGGCGCCGCCTGGGGGTGTCATTCCCGGGAAGTTCATGGTTGTGATGAGATGAGATGAGGAACGCGGTCGTTAAAGTGGGAGGACGGGTTTAGCTATGGCCGGATGGACTTGAGATTCTCTGGGGAAATCTTTCGGGAGGATTATTTCTGCCAGTGGCCACCGCTTTTCCTGGGGCGTTGTCGGAGATCCGGCCCCACCATGCCGACTTCGGCGGACCCGTCCGTTTAATTGTTCAAAAGCTAGAAGATGTAGAAGAACAAGCAAAGGATTAAACGAAGTTGAGGTCACCGATTTGTGGGACAATGAAGTCCGGGATTTGCATAACTGTTGTTTGTTTCAAATATCAACAAGGCTGTCATAACAAACTGCTGCCCTCAAGTTGTTGCTCTAATAATACATTTCCTCTGGTCAAGTCTCAGCAATCATCCTCCTAGCCACAAATCTTCAAAGCTCAAAATAAAGGTCTCTTCACGCATCCCCCCTTGGCTACAATTTCCGTCCCACTCTCAATCTCTCACTCGTCCTCGTCCAATGTTTGGGTCGTCTTGCCGCACTGTGGGCTAAACCGTCGTCCATGATCATCCAGGATTTATTTTCTCTGGCTCGGTTGCTGCGAGTTGCTTTGACGGGGGACAGGGTGATCAGGAAGTCTTCGTCGCTTAGGGGCCTGATTCTGGTCCTGACCACCACTGTGGCCGCGCTTGCCAGTCTGATGTGATGTCTCCCGAAAAGGGGCAGAGTTCAAAGGATGCCTAAAGTTGATGAAAGGAAACGCTTGACGGATAGAAGGGAGGCCCCTTCCCTGAGGCCCTTGAGTTCCTTGAGGTCCCTGGGGGGCCTGCTGAGGGGGGACAGTATATGGCCGAGTCCATGAGCTTTCCTCCTGCGCCCTGGGATGTCGAGCCTGGACACTGCTGTTTCGCGGAACTAGGGACATCGATTCTCCAGGCCTCTCGTCCTCTCGAGTTTCGGGTACGAGGCGCCAAAGTCCGCCTTCCACTTTCTCCATGGGCCGGCTCAAGAAGTTGCCTCCAGGTCTAGCAGCACGCACTGTTCTAGGCAGCGGGCGAAAATCGAGTGCATACTTCGCCCTCGGGTCAACTGGGGGTGACTGGTTTTCTTCAAAAGACTGCTGCTGAGCCCCTTTGTACGGAGCGTATGAACGAACATATGGGACGTTGGGTGTGCCTGAGCCACTCGGTCCAAGCCCAGGTCCAGGTCCAGGTCCATCCTCATCGATAGTGGGCAGTGCAATTCGATTCTCCACGAGTCGGGTTTTGGCTGCATTCTTGCCCCGTCGTCTCTTTGGCTTCGACTGCTGGCTCAGAAGGGCAGTAAGTTCAGGGTTTTGAGGGGTTCGTGGAACTGGAGGGGGGCTAGCCGGTGGAGGCGATCTATGGTTCTTGTACCATTCTGTTATCTGTTAGAATCTTGAAATCGAGGGGCATTCACACAAGACTAACCGATCAAGCGTAGGTGCCGTTCGACAAATGGACCAGCATTCGGAGAAGAACCGCCCTTGACAATGTTCTGGTAGTGATGCTCGTCTATCAGAGTCAGCAGAGGCTTTAGAAGGCATTGCCAGCGCGTGGGTAACTCACATAACATGTTCTTAGTATAGTTGCGTTGAGCGATGTCACCAGCATTGTCGTTCATATATTGCGCGCATTGCTCCCAGCTCATACGTCGATCAACTGGGTTAGCAGCAGCTACTGAGCGAGGAACAACGACTTCCCAGAGCATTCGTTCTTCGTCTATAGACCAAGTCTTTCCACCCATGGTTAAGGCCCAATGTGAGGGTGGACCAAAGAGAGAGGAGTGAAGAAGCAAGTATATAAAAAGGTGACGCTAACGAAGAACAAAAGGCAGAGTAAAGGCAAGCGACGATGCCTATATAGAATTGGAGTGTGGAAAGAGGATAAGAGTAGTAAAGAATGAAGATCATGAACGCAGCTTTATAGACTCTCAGGACAATAGATGAGTGATTCAGTCCCGTTTGCATTGTCTGCTTAAGCCATGTGAATGCTTATCAAAGGTCAGGTGCCCGTACTGAATGAAGGACAATGGAGCAAGTGACATTGTGATTCAATGTAAACGTAGAAGTTCAGACGAGCCGTTTGGTTCTGACTTTTACCTTCGACAGCTTCCGACATGGCTACTCCTCAAAGATGCTGCGGGGTTCAGGAGCATGAATACCCCTAGCAAAGAGGAAAGCAGCTAAAGGTCGTTCCAATCTCGAGAACTAGTGTTGTCAGTTGTTGCCAGTTGTTGCCTTACGACGATTTATCGTCTGTTGAGGGGCAGACAGCGACTCACGATGCTCTTCTTTTCTAAAGGTATTACACCGTCTCTCACCCAAAAACCCCACCCTCCTGTCATATTTGCAAGCATCATGTCGGTCGTCAGTCTATCACCGACGAACGCAATCTGTGCAGGATCTGTCACTCCTGTTTCTGGGTGCTTTTTGAAATATTCCATGATCTCCTGGCCACAACCTGGTTTTTTGACCAAGTGCGAGAGCACAGTGATTCCTGTGTTCTCTTCGACCTCAGAAGCTAGCTTCAAATTCTTATCCCATGACGTTGCTCCCGCAGTATTTGACACCACAAGTAATTTGCGACCAGGATAAGCCAACCTTAGCTTTTCAAAGTGAGACTATGCTTCAGTTTAGCAGACAGTCTTGAGTATGAGGCGGGGTACAAATTATAGGCACCTTGTAGGAATCATACACTTCAACACTATCAGGATAAGCAAAGCAATCGTCTTTGTCGAGAACAACAGCCTTGATCTCTACTTTTCGACCATCTTTTTGCAAGCCTTTTTCAAGTGGAATCGGCAAGTCATTGAAAGTTGAGACTGTGTGATGAGGCAGACACAGACTCGGCTTGAAGATAAGCCTTGTGATATTTAGTGATGCCGATAGATTTAGATTCAACATCGTTCCGTTGTCTATAAAATGCGTACTAATGGGAGGGAGCATGTGAAGGAAGAATGAATTGTCGTTGGAGGCGAAGCTCGCGCCACATGCATTAGCGCCACAGGCGCCACAACCAATTTAGAAGGCGCGTTACCAGTAGTTACCACGCGCCTGGGCTCTGTATTTATTTTACCCATTCTAGAAACTACATTAACAACTATAAAAAGTTGGCTCTCGGGAAACTCAAGTGATTCCGTCAGCCTCAGCGACAACATAATGCCTCCAAAAAAGGCAGTACATGAGCCTGATACTCAACAAGATCCTCCAAGATCCTTACGAAAACGCGGGTACCAAGATCTCGAATCCATTCCCGAAAGCGACCTTGAAACATCACCAATAAAGCGACAACGAAGTACAGCTCATCATTCACCCAAAGTCGCCACTGGAACGAATGGACATACAGAAACGATACACCGAGATGTGATAGGAGACAGTGATGCAAGCTCATCCGAATCATTTTCAAGAGTCGACCCAGATGAAACCCCTAAACCTGCACCAAAACGACGAGGGAGACCACCAAAGAAGGCTGTGAATGGCGAGACTCCTACGCCGAAAGCGAACCGTACTGCTCTTTTTGAAACGCCAAACAAGAAAACGCCTATAGCTTTGAATGGAGCAACACCCGGAGGAGCTGACAGATCTGCCAAGCGAAAGAGTACGAGAGCTCTCATAGAACATGTTGTTGGCGACGACCTTACGGATGAGGAGGAATACGATGGTCTTGCGCAGCAAATCTACGAATCTAGTGAAGACGAAGAAGCGCTCGAAGGCGACGTTGCCATTTCCACCGAGGCTTCAGGTGTAGATGAAGCTGCGACACCTTCGAAATCGACACCTCGCCGGAAAGCTCAGCGGAAAGCACCAGCTCGATCTCCAACTCCTCCTCGCGACTTGCCTCCTCACGAATTATACTTTGCGCACAACAAACCTGGGCGGGCCAAGACTTCGAATAATACTCTGGGATCACTTGCTCTACTTACACACGATGAATACTTTACCATTATGCGAGAAACTCAGGATCACCATGAGGCTGATATCGAGTTTCTAGAGAGTCTGCATGCCGAATCATTCCCGCAATGGGCGTTCGAGTTATCGCAAGGGTTCAGTTTGTGTCTATATGGTTATGGCTCGAAGCGACGTCTCCTGCACAAGCTTGCTGGTCACTTGTACTCTTCCATTAGGAAGGAGAAGGGGGATAAGATTGTTATAATCAACGGCTACGCCCACAATACCACTATGCGCGAGGTATTGAGCACAATTGGCGCGGCTGTTGATCCAGGTCACCGCATTCCTCTGACGCAACCTGCCGTCATGGTCCCTGCCATTCTCTCACACCTAGCCACAACGTCGTCAACGTTGACTCTTATTGTTAACTCAATCGATGCGGCGCCTCTTCGTAAATCTGGCTCGCAGTCTGCTCTAGCGCAACTCGCGGCGCATCCTCAAATAAATCTGGTGTGCTCAGCTGATACACCAGACTTTGCACTACTGTGGGATATAGGTGTGCGATCTGCCTTTAACATGGTGTTCCATGACTGTACGACCTTCGCCCCATATGGTGTCGAGCTGGATGTTGTGGATGAGGTACACGAGCTTCTCGGGAGGAATGCTCACCGAGTCAATGGTAGAGAAGGCGTTGCATTCGTTTTACGAAGTTTGCCCGAAAATGCCAAGAATCTGTTCCGCCTCTTGGTTGGCGAGGTTCTCATTGCTATTGAGGAGGAGGGCGACAGTGGCGATGAGCCAATTGGTGTTGAGTATCGAATGGTGTACAACAAGGCCGTGGAAGAGTTCATCTGCAGTTCCGAGATGGCTTTCCGAACCCTGCTGAAAGAGTACGTTCATTGTCACATTCCGTTACACAACCACGACTAACGAAGACTAGATTCCACGACCATCAAATAATCACGAGTATGAAGGATGCTCTGGGAACAGAGCTACTGAGCTTGCCATTTAGAAAAGACGAGCTCGAGGCAATCCTAGAGGATCTCATGTCATAATGTAAAACTAGTTCAACATATAGAATCGGAAGCATAGCAAAGGTGCATGGGCGCTGGTGTTGGGAGAGCATTAGATCTCATGAGAGAGTTGAGTTACATTATTGTAATTGGAAAGGGTATAATTAAAACACATAGGGAAACAATTACCCTAAATTGAGACCATCTTGAAGTCTGTCATGAACATTACGTCGTCTATGCAGCCGTCTGCCATGTTTTGCTCTCTATGTCAAGCATCAGTCCTGAAGAAACCACCGGAACGCCACCTTTGATGTACTTTTATATCAAACACCGAGGCTTTTCACACATGTCCACAACACCACTGGTACGATAACGTTGTCATTCCCACCAGTAAGAACAGCCTCTGTCAAGCTCGCCATGGATGCGCACATCGCAGCATTTCGTGTGCCAGCAATCACTCCAGGCTGCTCACCTGCAGCAGGCCAACCACCGATTCTCAGCCACATACTGGCGGCACCAAGTCCCAGCATGACAGCCACAGCAAAGGCGACGCTGCCCTCAAGGCTCTTACCGCCTCCCCAGAGCCACTTCCGACGTCCATATCGACGGCCGATGAGAGAAGCAGCTGCGTCTCCTAAACCCACGCAGATAACTCCAGAGACAAGACTGACATCTCGAGTTGTGACTTCCCAACCAGACAGGTAGCCAGATCCAGAGCGTGGTAGAGAAGCAAGGCCCAGCCAGAGAGGAATGGCGCACCCAATTAGGAGAAAGATGTGTGAGATGACAACTGGACCACGGAAGTCTCTGCCGTCGACGTATGGTGCTAGGAATGAGGCAATAGGTTTTGATAGTGGAGGTAGCTGACTTGCCCGCAGAAGATCCAGGATCAAGAAGACCGCAAGGATTAGAGACAGGGCAAGAGCTGCATACGTTGGATCGACAAAGGTTGCGGGCAAAAACATGCCAACCATCATAAAGTGGAACACCTTCCGCCGTGTATCTACCTCATAGATGTCCTTCAGACGAAAGACGATAATGAGCCCCAGAATCAAGATTCCCATCCAGTAAGCACTCAACAAAAGTCGAGTGTTTGCTTCTCCAAAGTCGTTATGGCGAACGTGCTGTACCCAGCCAGAGTGGCATTGTTTGTCTTCTGTAGGATCAATTCGCGGGGGTAGGCAAATCCATCTTTCCAAGTTCAGACTGACCACTTGATATCGGAACCAAGACCAGTCGCCGAGGAGATATCCCAAAGCCCACCCAATGGGCTCATTGTCATCTAGGGCATACCATTGTACATAAGTTCGAATGCCACCAAGGATGATCGCTATGATACTCAAGTAGACGTATCCAGCATAAAACCATTTTCTCATAGTCGCTTGCTCTTGAGTAAGCTTGAAGAAGGGCCGAACGGACATGGAAGTTGCTCGCTTTTTGCGCCCCGAGGGAGTATGCGTCGCGTTACGTCGATTCCCATGATCAAGGTGTGGTAAGGTATGTCTCCGTGCAAAAGACCAGCTTCCGAAAGCATCTGCAGCCGTGGGCGAAGAGGGAGCACTATCGGGTTCTGCTGGGTTCGGGGAGCTTGGTCCAAAGGTTCGAACTCGAGTAGGCTTCTTGAACAACGGGCCTGCCTCGTCCTCGGATGAGCCAATGGTATCGTACACAGCATCCTCATACTCTGGTCTTAATAATTCGTGCCTCAGCCGTCGTAGCGAGAAAATTTGTTTGAAATTTTTCCAGAGTGGCGGCCGTTGAGAGACTGACACTCTCCGAAATCTCCATTTCGGCACTCTGGCCAAAGCAATTCCCCAGCTTATGACACGTCCACAAAAGAAGAGGAGAGAAAGTCCTCCACCCCACAACAGGGCTTTGAGAATCAAAACCTGGGGTGAAGAAGCTAGAAGCAAAACGTTGATAAGGGCGACTGACAGGAGCTGGAGCTCAGCCGTCAAGAGACTAGTTGTAGTGAGATAGTGCAATGTCACACACAAAGTTTGGTGAAGAGGATACAGCAGAATAGCTGTTTCTCCTGAAATAAAAGATTCTGGATGCTTGCTTTCGAAGTGTTCACGCTGCTTTGGGCTCCAGATTAGTGGAATGCAAGTTAGGCCCCATGCTAGTACATCATATGTAGCATATGGATCAACCTTGGGAATAACGCTCTGCGGAATTGAAGCAAGGCTCAGAATAAGGTTAGGTAGAATCGCTGCTGGGTTGCTTGACGAAATAAGAAGCGAGACATATAGAGTAATCGCCGAAGGGTATAATATGGGAGCGGGGTCGAAGTGCGCAGGAAGCTCGAGAGGTATTGGGTGAGACGGTGTCCTGTTACGGTATGCCCAAGCGACGACCCGGACAGGATACAGAGCGAGTAGTCCCGCATATACAAGGCCACAGAGTAGGATATCTATGATGGTTAAGGCAAGGCTATCAGAAGGGAGGAAATGCGCATACCTTTTCCCCAGATCTTTATGAGCTGCAATACCTGGGAATTTGAAGCTACCATGAGACCCAGCGCTAAAACAATGCCAGCCTCAGTTATGCGTCGAACAACGACTCTTCTTCGTCTTTTGAGGGCTTCGAGCAGACGTTTCGTTTCCGGTGTCTCGGTAGACATGGGCGGCTTGTCTACTGTGCGGATGACATGACCATCAAGAAGCGCTGGTGATGGAAGAGGTGTTGAAGAGCCAGACAGCGGTTCATTGAGACCTCTCAATCCTTTGTGCAGGTTGGCTTTTGGCGCCGGTAAACCTTTTAGATAATGCTCGTCGTCAGCTTCGGAGCCACTGTCGCTCGTCTGCGGCGAGTCCTTGAGAAAACTTGGCCATGTCGTAGGCGAGGGTTCGTGGGGATCATCGTCACTGGTCTTGGCGGATTGCGCTTGGCGGTTCCTCAGCGTAAAACGATCCGAGAGATGGGGAAGGTCTGTGTTCTGGTGATGGTACGGGTGAGGCGATCGCGATCGAACTCGAAGGCTGTCTTGTTCGTCGGGGTCGAGAGTATTTAGAGAGTCGGGGCTGAGATGCTCTGTCATGACGAGGGTATTCAAGGTACCTCGATATCGATCATGGGAAGACAACGGGGCTGCGTATGCGCCTCAAACACGTTTCAAGGATATTGTCGCAAACAAATGGACCAAATTGATCAATAAAGAGAGTGAGGGTGGTTTGAATCAGAGACTATTCCTGTCAGTGGAGTTATCTCCACGTCGTCGGTTTTGTTGGAGGAAGCTCGAGCATCTGTCATCGTCCACATGTGACAGTGGACTTGTCCATCGGGTGTTTCGTCAGCTAACTTCAATCAGTCAGCAGCATGCATAAATAAGGCACGGCCACTCATGAGCCACGTCTATCGATAGTGGCTTTGGGAGGCAGGAAAACTTTGGACCTGAGCTTCAAGTGCTAAAAGTACCTAAATTACCTAGGCAATAAACCCCCTAAACCTATACCTGATTTACTCAAGTCTTTTTATCACTTGGCATTACTCCGTAAAGATTTCGAGTTTTCTTACCTCCATTGGAGGGGCTCGATACCTTATCATATGCAAGTAACCTCATCCGTCTTCAACAAATTCACTATCAAATTGACCAAGTCGACAGAAATACCCTATAGCTGCGAGGCAAATATTCAATGACAATTAAAGGACTCGATGGATCCAACCAGTTGTTTTGATCTTGTATTTCCCCTGATGTTTCTTATCAATTTCTATAGTATCTGAATGCTGGTATTGTAACATTCCAGTTCCGTCGCTAGATATCTCCTTGACTCCCTCCCTCGTCTTGGAGAACAAACTCAAATATTTTTTTCTATCCCTTGGAGAGCAGGAGAAAGACGTAATGAAACAAGATCACATGCACAAGCTTCTTTACTGGGAAGAGAAATATACCGAGTTGTCTCATTTACAGATGGACATGTCTAACGAGAAAACAGTCATGACGATACCAACAACTCAACAGCACCACCAGAACAGTGAGTGTCACTATCAATCAGATCGTATCGCACATCTGACGGATCGAACCACTGGGGCTTCCGAGTGGTCTAAATTTAGACATACATTCAACCTTCAGCCAGTGGGACTCTCAGCTGTCTCCCCACGCCCATCCCGGACCTTCAGCACACGCACGCAGGCAGTGCAGGAATCGCCCTTCAGTCTCAAGGTATCCAGCATACGGAGTACACTTGTTGGTTATATCGGATGAATGGTCTACAAGCTATATCCGCCGGTTCAACAACAGTAAGCGATTTGGCTATTGCCAACTATCGCCAGACCATACAATCATTCATCTTTATACCGCAAGCCATGAGTTAGCTCAAAATCGACCAAGAGCTAAGAGTTGGATCTAAGACCCAAAAGTCAACTTGCTACTTGCTTGTCTCGAGACAGTTGCGCTTTTTTGACAGCAATTTGTCTCTGATTGCGGTTTCTGGTTGGACTACCAACTGATACTAGGCCTCTATGGCTGCATTGGCGTGTCTCACAGCCAAGACACATCTCGTAAGTGTGCGTGCTGGCAGCTGGCTTACCGTCATTCACAGAGGAGACATCAAAACACAATTAGTATGTGTCTCTGCTTTTTTCCACAAAAGGCTGGAGTTTCATGCTCCGAATTTGGGTGTAGTGACTCGAACTGCGATTTGGTTAATCGTTACAGCTGAGGTTACAGCGCAAACATGGCTGCATATGACCCAATGGAATTTCATCTGTGCCAGCCATTCCCTTTTTTTTTCAGATGCGCTGGTCCACGTTGGCGGAATCGACTTTACGGATAACGAGATAGGCCGCGTGGAGCTTTGTGAATGAATGACACGATATTGGCTGAGCATCATCTCGCAGTAACTGATCATCAACGGTCAGTAACAATTCAATTCTGACACAGAATTGTTGAGCCGCCAGATCCGGTTGCATACATCATCTCTTCTTGGCACCAAAATTTGCTTCGTTTGGACGGACACGCCGCCGGAGCCAAGGACTGTGCACGTTTCCGTACTCCATCTCATGACAAAAAAGCACCAAAAATAAGGATCAACCGAAATTCCCCATCGTATTACAGTTTGATATTGCGCATCTCCGTCATCGCAGCTGGTGAATTTGTCGATCCGTCATACGAGCAAAGAAGTTGGCACGAATAATCAAGTTCAAGTTCAGAGTTGAAAGATATCACACCTGGTCGCTTATCACGACAATTAAGAGCAACCATTACAAGTCTCAACTTGGCGCATCATAGAACAAAGGTTCATGGCCGAACATCAGCAACGAGTCTCACGCAGACAAGTTGCTTGATGATCGATATGCATTTTTGCTGCACATGGGCGATCATACATACGCCAGACCAGGCGCCAGGTCAATTGATTGTGTTCATAATCACGGCCCCAAGTTGCAAGACACGATCAACGCTCCGAAAGGGTTGGATAAGAGAAGATGAAGATGGAAAGACTACCTGCACCAAGGTCAGGGACAGGGTTCAGGGGACTAAGCAGGTGGGTCAAACATGGAATGAGGATCGGGGCCATGCGGTCAAAAAAAAGCATCATCTTGGGACCAATGGCTTGGGCCCGAATGTTGACCCGCCTGGATGCTCAGCTTTTTATGGCGATTCCTCGTATTCACCTGGGAACGAGGCGGTTTCTCACCCCTTCTTGTCCTTCCTCTCCAATCTGTCAATTGACATACTTCCCATGGGTCTCAGGAGCTTTTTAAAGAATACGAATGGCAGGACGATGGGCTCATACGGAGACAATCACACAATGCTCCTCTTATACAAGCCCGCCCATCTGCCGTTACATCCACAGTGACATCACAAAGCTCATGAAGCTCCGTATCCTAGCGGCGTATGTATGGGTTGATGAGGCGCCGCCGTCTGAGCAACGGAAGGACAGGTACCAGGGGGTCAACGGATGTGGTGACGGTGCCCTTATAGACAAAAATACTCGTGCAACCGTTTACATGGTGATCAAGTCGAACCAACGCCTGTGCAGTAAGGACGGGGATCCAAGACCCAACCATACCAAAGGTGGTATATCGGAATTGTGACAACCGACTTCTGTTGATGGCCCAGTTTGTACCGGCCAATAATTACTAAACAATGGCTGAAACCTTTATTAAGTTTCTATAGCGATTGGATGTTCCAAGAATGAGCAGTTGTGCCCTTGTTATCAGACAGTCAGTGCTTCAGCTCATCTCTGGTCAACTTCAGGTCAAGCAGTCAGCACGCCTCGTGTCTTGGATTACCCTCCACAGTGTTTACTAACAAGAAATGAGGACAGAGGGCTATGTACGTACACAGGCAGACATGGCCTTGTTGAGCCGCCCTTGGGCACCCAAACTCCACCAAAGCCCATCCCTCCCAGGCTCCCCGGGCTGCTCAGTGCACAACCTCTGGCCTCTGCGACTGGGTTTCCAGTAGGCGGAGGTGTAGCCGGCCGCCGGCTGAACTTGGCGGGACGACAGAAGAGCGCTAGACGAGGCCTAGCTTTTTGTCTAGTGCCCGGGTGGCTATCGTTAAAAACTGCAAGCGGCTCCCCTCCAAGCCTAAAAAAGAAACACGCATAGCGATTTTGTCCAGATCTCCAACAGCCTTTGGCCTTTGCCACTCAGCAGACAAAAAACAAAAGTCACAGCAGCAAATAAGAAAACAGCTTACTTGGGCCATTGTGATAGTTGTCTGCAGCTCAGCCTCCTCTTGCCAAGACTAGTCTAGGCCTCGGGGCTTTTAGCAGGACAGAGCAGATCCCCTCATCTACCCACGATTCACCACCACAGGCCGCATTTAACACCAAAATCTCCTCTTGCTCGCCCTGGACTTGAGTTCAATCTCGCAGTTGGCTTGACGTGACGGACTCAGCTCGTGTAACACCCATCACTCACTCCACTGCCTCCACTTCCTCCACTTCCTCCACTTCCTCCACTCCCTCGCTCACACTCTCCGCAACGCCTCGGTCGACTGTCAATTGCTTACAGTACAGTACCGGCAGGCGGCACACCATTCGCTTTCTTGGTCCCTTTTGCTTCTCTCATCCTCACATCACCAGCTGTGTCTCCATTCATAGAACCGAGCAGACTCCTCTCTTGTACGCTAGAGCCACCTCCTTGTCTGCTTGGCACACGACACTCTTCATCATCGATAAAGGGAATCACCCCTCTGGCCGGCTGTCGTCTGCACGTTCTTGAACCCTAGCTTGCTTGCTGCTGCACTGTCTTCACCACTCACCGTCGGGGATCTCGCCTCCTCAACCTCACCACCTGCTCCCAGCCAGTCGTCTCTCGTACCATCCCCAAATAGCAAACCCAAAAAAAAGCTGCCATCTGTCTTGGGTCCGCAATTCTGGTCTATTCTCAGCCGCTAAACATCCTCTGCATATCCGTCTCCAGTCTTCTTCAGTCCTGATATCACCCTGCTCAACTTACAAAACTCAACCTTCTCCCTTACTTCAAACCTCCTCACTCACTTCTACATCATGGCATCTGTCGACATCAAGAACGACTACAGCATGGAGGCAGGATTGTTGAGCACTGACCGAGAAGAGAGGACCATGTCGTCAAAGGAAGCACTCCTCCAGGATTCGGAATCTGCCCAGACCATCCCACGGACAAAGACCAAAAGGATATCCCCAGCTGGCAAGGCCTTGATTGCTCTGGCCGCTTGCTGTCTTCTGGGTGTCGGTGTAGCATCCATTGGAGGCGCTACCCGACTCTGCCCTGGACATCTCCGCCATGGTGATGTTGGAAAGCATGGTATGAACGCTCATCGACCAAATCTTTCCGATTCCATGGCCCAGATGGTTCGACGACAAAATACACCAGCACCTACCGATACAGAGCAGGGCACTGATCCTACAGATGCCGCTTCTGATGGCGCTTCCAATGCTCCCTCGGGCGGCTCTTCAGGCGGAGCCTCTGGTGGTGCTTCAAACACCGTACAGCAACCCACTGCTACGGCTGATGAGCCCACGAACGAGGCTAGCGAGACTGCTGTTCAGCCTTCCGCTACCGGCGGAGAGCCGACCGACCAGGCCAGCGCCACAGATGAGGCCTCAAACACCCAGGCTCAGCCGTCAGTTACTCAGCCATCTGCCACCAGTGAGCCGTCCTCACCCTCGCGCCCTGCGAGCTCAGAACCTGAGGAACCCACCTCTAACCCGGATACAGGCCGACCCTCTGCCACCGCCCAACCTACCGAGGACTCAGCTACTGAAGCATCTCCTTCTGCCACGGAATCTCAAGATGAGTCTACTCAGCCTGCATCCACAGCCGCCTCTACACAGCGAACCACCCGCAGGACCACGGAGAACCGACCCTCGTCCACTGAGGACTCTTCCCCTGAATCGACCACCGATGATTCCGAGGCCACTGCCACTGGTACGTCCGTTTCGGAAGAGGAACCTTCTGAGACTGTTCCCTCTTCTCGTGCTTCAACTTCCAATCCTTCTGCTCCTAGTGCTGCAACCTCCACTGCTGCCAGTACGTCTACTCGAAGAACTTCTTTGCCTGATACCTCCTCTTTTTCTGAATTACCGTCCGAGACGGCTTCTTCGGGTGAGACCCTTCAATCCACCGCCCTTGATGATACTTCCACTGTTATCGAAACTGCCACCGTTCCCCCCTCCACTGTCGCCGAAGCCACCACTGTCCTCCCCGATTCAACTTCTGAGTCAGCTTCCGGGCCAACCCAAGAGTCGGAAACAGCCTCCCAGGCTTCAGAGGAGACAGAGACGACTACCGGTATGTGGGACGGACGAGCAGCAACACGGCTCTTTCCAGGGACATTGCTGCGAATCCAACTCCCCAAACCTGTTGTGATATTACTGTTTCGTGCCATATCCACATCCTGATGCCTTGACTTCGTGACTTTCGCAAGTGCGCCAAAACTTGAAAATGTCTTTTGACCATTGATTGCCTCCGCGTTGACTACACACTTTTGCAAATGGGAACCATCTGAACGTATATGCTAACATTAAGACAGATCAGGAAACCGCAACTCAGACAGACGAGGCTTCACGAACCTCAGACGATGCCGAAAGCGCGACTGAGACTAAGTCTGAACGAAGCACTGTGACTGGAACAGGTACCAGACGAACTTCGAGTGCTGTGCCCAAGACCTTCACTTCTACGCTTGAGGATGGTGGCATTACAACCCTGACTTCGACTTCTTGGGTTGAGGTTGTCCCCTCCGCCGAAGCTACCGCTGGCAGCCCTGACCTTCAGAACGCCGCTCCTCGATCCGTCGGTTCAGTTCTTGGCGCAGTTGTGGGTATGGTCTTCGGTGGTTTCATTCTCCTGTAAATGGATTATTTACACATCGACCTCGCCTTACATCCAGCGAAAATGTCACGCGGATCCCGTGGCGAACGAACTTGTGGTCCCATTGGGAGCACCAGTTACTTCAGAATGGGTTCATCTTTATGAATATCACGGTCCTTTCTTCATGGGTATAAAATCAGGATAATAGACTTTGGGGTCAGCATCAGACGGGATTAATCAATAGACAAGAACTTCCACATACGGTTGTATCTTGGGGGAAGATTTGGTTCATTAATGGCGTCCAGCATATATGCCGAACATGGGTTGTATTTAAAAATGCATAGTACATGAGCGAATACAAGCACTTGAGTTTGCATACTCGATTTCATTTTCCCCTTTTCAAACAAATCGATGCAGTCAACTTGTGCACAGTGGTCTTGACCTTTCCTCTCAGAAACAGGGCCTTGGTGCTTTCAGCCCAGCAAGGGGTAAACATTACGCGCCTCCAGGCGTGACCGATTGGGATAATGCCGTAGATCAATGCAACAGATGTAATTTGTGGGAGTATTTTTTTAATTCGAGGGTATAACCAAAAGCGCCAACAACTCCTCCCCATCCGCCTACACACATTCGCCACCAACTCAACCTTCTGTCCTGACATCCTTAACCGGGGCCAATCCTGGGCATGTCGTGATGCTCGCTCAATCTCGACAGGTAAGTATTGAGTTCTTCGACACGCTCCTTATGTGTTTTGAGAAGTTCTGGCCGCGAGCTTGCAGACTCGGCGAGTTTGAGCAGCTATAGACTGGTTAGCATGATTTCAACAATAGAAGGCGATAAAAGACCTGCCCTCTTCTTTTTTATTTCTTCGTGGCGCTTTTGAGCTTCCGTCTTTTGAACCTCGGGTTTGTCCTCATCATCCACATCGTGGGGTTCTTGCTCCTCTTCATCCTCGCTCTTCTTCTTCTTTCTCTTCTCTTCGTCCTTGTTTCCGGTATCGAGGTTCTTCTGAAGATCGGTCTTATCGCGCTTCTTCTTTTTCTTGTGTATTTTGGCGCCCTTGAGTTTCAGGGCACCGCCGCCACCGACAGCAGCATAATCGTCGGAGCCCATGGTGTTATGGTGCTTTCGGAAGGGTTGTTGGTGAGGCGATGGTCATGGACTCGACGTCAATGGTAGAAGAAGTGACTAATCAACATGTGGCGGTGCAAGTGGCTGAGATCCACCGAAGAGAGCAAGGGGCTGGGCTAGAGTGGTAATGTGTTTCTGATCTATACGCGGAAGGGAAAAGCGAAGCAGCACTTGCATTGACAAAGAAGCTTCCTTGTGATGAGTTGGGTAAAGCCGACTCCTATCTTTTTCAACTTGGCCTTCTTTCTTTGTCCTGTTCCACTATAACGAAGCAAACATTGCCCCTTTTGGTATTGAATGCAAAGGAGAGTTCATGAGCAATCAATCAATTAATTGTTGACGAATACGAATACTTTCTTAATTGTGCTTTTATACCCCGTCTTTTTAACCTCGACTGCTCCAAAAACACTTCAAAACAACTACCGACCACTGAGATCTCTACGTCACAGATCTTGCTTCCTCACATCCTTCGGCTGCCGATCGCCCAACACATCCACTCCAAGTTTGCGCGACAACGAACCGCGATGCGCATTGGTCTTTAACAGCTGAAATACTCGAATTGAATACTCGCGGTGCCTTGATTTTGGCGGATTGGTCGATTAAGTAGTCGCTGGGAAGAGGGGGAAAGGACAACCACATAGACACCGCAATGGCGCCGTCTTACGGACTCCCGTCGAATACAAGAGATTCGCTGGAACTCGCTTCCTTGGCTAGTTCAAGCCAGCTCAACGAAGAGAGAGCTACAGAGATCTCGTCAAGGCCCAGCATATCGTCGTCGCGGAGACTGTCGCTCGAACAAGATGACCCCCTCGACAGTGCCAATCCTGCAAACAGGATGAATCGATCATACTCAGTATCCTCAGCCTTTGACTTCTCCGCCAATATGTTTCCTCTAAGCTCTACGGCTGGTGCCGAAGGTTACGCTCCCATTGGAGCACCAACATCAAGATCAAGGCCGAGCGGCGGCTTAGGAGGAGGATCATTGGAGAAAAACAAGACCTTGACATACTTGAACGGATTGTCGCTGATAGTGGGACTTATTATCGGCTCAGGAATATTCTCGTCGCCAGGATCTGTGAGCACAAGAGTTGGATCGCCTGGCGCAGCGATACTCGTCTGGATTATCGCGGGTATACTCGCTTGGACAGGCGCTGCATCTTACGCTGAGCTCGGAGGAGCGATCCCTCTCAATGGCGGCGCTCAAGTTTACTTGGCCAAGACATTTGGCGAGGTGATAGGCTTCCTCTTTACATGGGTTGCCATGTTGGTTCTTAAGCCTGGTAGTGCCGCCATCATCGCCATCATCATGGGCGAATACTTTGTTCGAGCCTTCATCGGTCCTGACGCTGAGCATGTAAGTCCTTGGATCAACAAGGCTGTTGCGCTTGTAGGGCTGTTCATTGTAACGTTCTTGAACTGTGTGTCTACAAAGCTCGGCACGCGCGTTAACGATACGCTCATGTTTATGAAATTTATCGCTTTGCTGGGCGTCACCGTTACTGGTATTGTCGTTGCCATCACAGGAAAGACGCTTAAGGGCAAGTCGGAAGTTGAGTGGAAGCCGCATCAGCTGTTTGAAAACACATCGACCGACATGTCTGCCTGGGCTCTCGCCCTTTATGCTGGTCTTTGGGCGTATGATGGCTGGGACAATGTGAGTGACATCAGTCAAGTTTGTAAGTCTCGATTGCTGACCCAGTCTAGACAAACTACGTCGTTGGGGAGTTCAAGAACCCAACTAAAGACCTACCCCGAGTCATCCACACAGCCATGCCTCTGGTCATCCTCTGCTATGTGCTAGCTAATATCGCCTACTTCCTCGTCCTACCTCTCGAGAGCATGGATGGATCCAATACAGTAGCTGTCATGTTTGGCAACCGAGTGTTTGGTTCTGTAGGCTCACTCATTCTCGCACTCATCGTTAGCGCCAGTTGTTTCGGTGCTCTCAACTCTTCGACGTTCACCTCCAGTCGTTTGGCATATGTAGCTGGAAAAGAGGGCTACATTCCTTCGATCTTTGGCACTATCGGTGTTGGCGGCAGCCCACACGAGCACGAGCTCAGCACCCAGCGTACACGAAGTTGGTTCACGCGCAAGATGCGAAGAATGTTTGGCGATGAAGATGCTGGACTGTTTTATACGCCAGTCTATGCACTCATTCTCAACGCTGTTCTTACAGTTGGTTACGTGGTTGTTGGCGAGTTTAGCACTCTCGTCACCTTCTATGGCGTTGCAGGTTACACATTTTATTTCCTCACAGTTCTGGGCCTGATCATCCTGCGCGTGCGAGAGCCGGGACTCGTACGACCGTACAAGACCTGGATCACGACGCCTATTATATTCTGCTGCGTTAGTCTCTTCCTCCTCAGCCGGGCTGTCTTTGCACAGCCTTTCCAGACTATCGCCGTCGTGTTCTTCGTGGTAGCTGGTGTGCCTGTTTATTTCTGGCGTATTAGAGGGCGAGACGAGCAGGTCTTGAGACGGAGAGGACAGCCCAGCGAGGAAAAGAAGTGGTGGCAATTCTGGAAATGATTGGAAAATATAGCATGGATTGGGAGAGTTGGCAACGAATTCATGTCATGAATGGTAAAATTATGGTCAGCCATATAGCGCTTGATGATGGCTCATAACGAAGCATACCAAAAATAGCGAGAAATTTTGTATTAATAGCAAGATGAAAAGACAAAGAACAGCAGAACATTTCTGCTTGGCTTCATTTTGGCGGCAGTTATTATGAGTGAATGTGTAAAGTGGCTGTTGACGTGCACATGCAGCCTGACTTGGAACCAAGAAGAATAATCAAAAGATAGGACACATGGTTTCTTTTGACAAAGCTAGTTCATTTGTATGTGTTATATCCATTGCCTCCCTTTGCTTTTATGCCAGTATTTGTATTTATCGTGCATTGCAAGGTTCAGGATAGATTTAGCCTTTGCTCTAAATATTAAAGTTATCTAAAGGAGATCACCAAGTAAAACAATCGCTTGCTCAATAGATTAAGGGAGGCATTTCATGGCATCTTATTGAGATCACTGAAGGCAAGACAAAAGGAGGTAGAACTTTAACAAATTGTATTATCTGCAACGCTGATTGCTTTTGACCCGCGTCTATAATGCAGTTGTTGTAAAACTATTCATCATCATGTACAAATCATTTCTTCCATTCTCTCAATACATTTATTTCTTCTCACGCTGACCATAGGCCTTGGTGGCATAGTCACCCTGGTGAACGATAAGATCCTCAGGCTTGTAGTCGTGGCGGCCAGAGAGGTAAGAGTCGATGATGGCCTTGGTACCGTTGGCATATCGGATCTGAGCGTCCAGAGAAGTACCGGACATGTGAGGAACCATGGCGTTACCGCCACCCCAGTTGTTCTTGGCGGTTCGCAGGGGGTGCTCCTTGGGAGCGGGCTGGTGGTCCCAGACATCACCACCGTAACCGGCGAGATGGCCAGACTTGAGAGCGGCAGCAACGTCCTCCTTGACGACGATGGCACCACGGGCAGTGTTGACGAGGTAAGAGCCCTTCTTCATCTTGGCGATGAGGTCCTTGTTGAAGAGACCCTTGGTCTTCTCGTGGAGAGGGCAGTTGATGGTGACGATATCACACTGAGCGAGCATCTCCTCGAGGGTGTCGACGCGGCGGCAGCCAATCTCCTTCTCCTTCTCGGGAGAAAGGGGCTGGTAATCGAAGTAGAGGAGCTCCTTGCAGTCGAAGGGCTTGAGGCGGCGGAGGACACGCTCACCAATGCGGCCGACAGCGACGGTACCGACAACCTTGCCCTCAAGATCGAACTCCTGCTTGGCAGCGTGGGCAACGTTCCAGTCACCGGCCTCAATCTGCTCGTGGGCAGGGACGAAGTTGCGGACAAGGACGAGGATGGTCATGAGAACGTGCTCAGCAACGGAGAC